AGAATCATAAGAACAATATTATATTATTAAGGTCTGTTCTCTGTTACTTGTTGATATCTAAAAGCTTGAAATGTACTTCAATATTTATATTCTGCCTCTGAGTGTTCGCAGACTACATCTATCAGTTATACAAACTATGTATCTCTCTGGTTATAACTCACAATATCCAGTATTCTCCAAAGGTGTGAACACCTGGAAACCCTGAAAACTACCATACCCTCTTTGATAATTACAATATTACTAACTAGGAACTATACTATTCCCAATAGTAATTATCTAATCTTCAGAATTATTAGACCTATGGCCTAGTTCTCAATTTGAACTGAGTTGGCCCCAATTATCTCCCATATTGATAAAATAATCAGTTTCATCTGTGGGTTGTATCTGTAGAGGTAGTTACAATTTCAACCTTCCTAGGTCACCTGACTATTAACCTCCATAACATCAGATCCAATCAAGAGATATCTTCTGAATAACTTTCAACTAATTCACAGGAAGCCATTCGATCAGATTGGCCAATAATCCCTCTGTTGACCACGCTTGATTGCTCTAGGTAACAGGTTTTCAGTCATTGTTCCAGTGTTCGGAATTATTTCTGTAACCACAATGCATTCTTGGACCCAGTTGTAACACTTTACGAAGTCCATTGGCTTCTGTAGTAGTGTTTCTCGGAATTCTAGACTCTTATAATTATCATAGGATGGGTGCAAATGTGTTGACCTTTTGTAAAAATCCTTTCACATTTGATATCATCCCTTAGTATGAAAATGTCCTGTTACTTACAGCCCTTGCTGAAGTTGTCACAACCTTGAAGTCTAGTAACTCTCTGAATAGTTTACAGATTTACTCTATTCTACTTCACAGCCTTAGCGGAAGGTCCCCTCTCATATATCCTGCAAACGGAATCCAGTCGGACAAACAGCAGTGATGTATTCAGTGCTATTCTTATACCTCAAATTCAGTGGCCTTATAGTCACAAGATGCAATTGAGATAAGTACGTATAATGATGTGTGGGCCCATAAAGGGGCTGGAGCAAGGTGCTGGAGACTAGAGATTCCAATTCTGAATTGGGTTACCCTACTTAGAGTGGTTCCTAGGTATCGGATCCTGGTATTTCTAACAGAGCCTACTTTTATTGTAGAAAAACATCCATGAAAGCAGGAATAGATGTTTGGGGGCTGCTTCCACAGAAATATGCAAGATTCTGACATATTTTGAGAAAAGGATTGGGGATCGATTAACTCCTAAAGCTACTGTACACATACTGTAATGGTCATTCATAATTATCTTAAACTGTATCGTCAGGAGGGAATTTAATTACAACTTATGAAAGATAGCGCACTCAGACATACCACTGGAGATACCACAATAGAGTTATGAGAAAGGAAAATTCAGGTTATCCTGTAGCCCATATTCTTGCCAGATTTAAATCCGATAGAATGGTTTTGGCATATAATGAAAGATTATCTGCAAGATAACTTTTCAGAAGATATGTCCTATAATCACTTACGAAATGCGGTAAAGGAAGCCTGTAATAATATTGGCCCATATGAGTTCAGAATGCTCATTGAAACTATGCTAACAAGGTCAGGCAGTGATTGATACAAATAGTCTCTTTACAAAGTACTAGCTAGGCCACATATCTATTTAGTAACTTTATTTCTTAACTTTATTAATATTAAAATGAGTTTATTAGTAAAGGAAACTCAACACTTCTAAGTCTCTCCATTGATCACTACACCTATCGCTGTATCTTCTTATAAATGTAGTTTTATTAGAACCAGCATATGGGCAGTTTTCATTGTTGTTGGAAAAATGAGTTTAAAGTATGGTAATTAAAGAAAAATGTTTTTAAAATAAATGGGTTTTTCTTTTTCTCCCAAGTAAATCGACTACTCTACCATAATAAAAATGTTTAGAAATAAAGTAGCTTAGTTGAAATTTTATTTTGTATATACAATTTAAATCTATGAAAAAGATTATGTGAAATGATACTATTTACATGGTTGTCCAACTATTTTTATTCTTTAATCCTGGCGGTCTTCCTTGCTTTCTAGGTTTTAGTAATTCTTGCTCTACTGGTTCTGCAGCAACTATACTAGCATCAGCCTCTTCTCTGATACTAGTAATAGAAGTATCATTTTCATCTGATTGTAGAGTAGGTTCTTGCCGTAGTCTCATATTACTGTTACCTGTAGTTAGTGAACTAGAAAGTGTAGTATCTGAACTACTGGCTATTGGCCTCTCATTTACTAGAGAAAGTGTCTTATGTTTTGTTCTTCCTACCTTGACTGCCTTGGCCAGTTGAATTGTATCCATAATGGACTCTGTATAAATCCAGGTGTAATGATCCCTCCTCGGATAGTTAGTTCTTGGCAACGGGGAACGATACTTCTCTTCTTCTTCTCCTTCTTTCTTCGTTTTACGATAGCACTAGGCCTCTGCCTACGTTACCGATAGTACAAGACCTTTATCTTCTATCAGAAATGCCTATCGTAAGTTTTCTCTAACTCTTCTGCGTGAAGAGCTCTCCTTAGCGTAACAATATCATTGCAATAAAGATAAAGATTGTAAAAGTATTTTTAGATTCGTTAAAGTAATAAGTAGGAAAAGTACTTAGAACATAGCGTAAAGAACCTATCCTCCTCAGCCATATCGGCCTCCTTATATAGTGTTCTTCCCGCCCATAGTCATGTAACCCAAAGTGGTCATATGTGCAAAACCAAATCATAACAAACTAGTAATGTGACCAAAGTGGTCACATGCTCAAAACCCATGACCTCATAGCGAGGTCATGTGCAAAAATTCATCAACCAATTATAATACAATAAACAAGTCATATGACTGGATTGAGTCATATGCATGAAACCCATGACCTCGTAATGAGGTCATGTGTAAAATATAAATCATATGCGCAAGGCATACCCGCAAGGCACACTCGTAAGGCATACTCATCAGATGCACATCCCATGACTCATATTTGAGCTGTAACATGTTCACAAGGTGCTAATCATGTTATCGGTAATGGATACGATAGTTGGCAGGTGGCCTGCTCTTCCAGAGAGGAGGCGAGAGCTGGAAACTAAAGGAGGCTTTGAGGGTATACTGAGGAACAAAGAAGTAACGGTTCAACCAAGTATATTGAAATACTGTCTGTCGAAGTCTGCCTTTTCTATCGTAGAAACAGGCAGTTTTTAAATACACAAATCTGTTCATGTCTAGCATGAACGAAACTAATCAAAGGTATCAATCGATACACTTTGGTGAAACTAATTAAGTATCAAAGTGATACAAAACATAAAACAAAACCAAGTATCAAACGATACTTAAAACAAACCAAGTATCAAAGTGATACTTAAAACAAAACATAAAACAAAACCAAGTATCAAACAATACTTAAAACAAACCAAGTATCAAAGCGATACTTAAAACAAAACATAAAACAAAACCAATAACTGAGTACCCGTACCGGTTACATGAGCCATATGCGAAAGCATCACAAATCCCACACATAATAAATCATATGACTCGAATGAGTCATATGTGTGAAATAATAACATACCTGTGACTCATAACCATGTATCATATGGAAACCTTTTTCCTCACCAAGCCACATTTGTGACACCAGGTAGAACAAATATCTTCTGGCACATAGGGACCATATTTACTCTACCTGTCATAATGTCTTTCAGGCTTTAGTCCAATTGGTGGAAACTAGGAATTTGGAATAGGTTTTATACTCTTATATATTGCTTATTCATCATCAGGATTTAAGAGGTACTTCATGCAACACATTTTTACAGAAAAAGTATCTTGACTTTAATAACAAATAGCACATGAACTAATTTCTCAATTGATTTGAAAAAAGGTTCTACATGTAGCCAGAGAGATCTAGTATTTTTCTACATAAAACACGCTACAGAGGTCATTGAAGCTTCTAGAATATTTTCTGAGCTATTAGAAGTATGTTCTAATAGTCTATCTAGGTAGCTATACTAAAATAAATTTTTGAGGGTTGAGTGCCCATATGCTAGTTCTAATAAAACTACACTGATATGGTAACATGGGGGAGGGGGTAATGAACATGGGGGCTCAGTGGATGCAGTACTGAAAATGACTTGGCAAGCTGGGATTTTTTTTAGTCTATTCATTGAGTCTCTCAGTTCATTGACCTCTCTCACATTTTAGAATAGGATCGAGATGGATAGATTGATTTATGGAATTGCTTGGTGGGAAGTAGTTGAGGTGGGAGTGTTGATGGAGGAAGGATAGGTAGCGTAAGGTGGTGGAGGGGGGTGGAGGTTGATGGAGGAACTGTAGGTACTGGGTCAAATTTTAAAAGCAACAGATTAAGATTTCTATCCAATGAGAATAGTTAACTCATTTTCCTATAGGGAATTTGAAGAGAATTATTTCATGTCTTATTTTAGTAAAATGTTGCAGAAAGGATAAGAGAAGCATTTATTTTATGTTTTTCTATTTAAATTTACCTTTTCCGCTCATATAGTATGAGTAGACTTTGGTGTCATTTCTTGATATAATCATCACCATTTACCCTACTGCACCCCAAGCCACCCCATACCCAATTCACTCCCCATATCCTTGCTAGCTTTTCCACCCTTGCTAGTGGAATATACAAAACTTAGGGGCCATACCTCCGTAGACGTGTTGTGAAATTTGAACCGCTTCCGTGTTACACAATTTCGGCAGGAACCTTGGCACGGTTACATCATGGCATTAATTTTGTCAGTTCTTTATTGTTTTTCATGGAGTTGTGATTGCTTATTATTCGTGTAAGTGTAAAATGGGGGGGTACGTTTCTTTTGTTGCCAAGCTCGCACATGTACCGTACTCGTATTATGCACAACATACCTGGGATGCTCTACCAATAACCACAAAAAAGCAAGCAACATCAAACCAAACCCACACGGGACTTTATCAAATACAAAGCAGGGTATCGTACGATCTATGGAGCAATGTCGTCAATAAACTGACTCACGAGTCCCTGCAAGTCTTTCGCAGCTGCAGCACCTGCCTCGAGAACCTCCTCATGATTAGCTGCCCCCGCCTCCGAAATAGCCTTCAAGCCTTCTTCACCCATATCCTCAATGATCGAAGAGTCACCCCTTGGGCCAGGCTCGAGAACAGCACGATTTGTAACAAGACTCATGGCCAGAACCCTTATCCCACAATGCCTCGCAACGACAATCTCGGGAACGGTGGACATTCCCACGACATCCGCTCCGAGAGCCCGTAAAAAACGGCACTCGGCGCGAGTCTCGAAACTACTCCCATCAACTGCCGAAACGTAAACACGGATAACAGGAGTACGGGAACTTTACCTCGGCCCGGAAACGAATACATAGACACCTTCGTGAATTTTTCGCTTTTCAGATGTCAATCGCAGTTTCTTGTAGCTAAGGTGGATTTGTTTTCGCAGCGACAGGTCATAGGCTTCGGACAATCGGGGAAACCTAGTGCCAAATTCCTCCTCGTTGGGTCCTCGGAGGGGGTGTTGACCGGCGAGCCCAGGGAAGTTGATATGCTAAACAAGCAAACATTAGTATCACCTTCACAATGAATAGGAGGATACCGTACATCGTTTAAAACCATAATATCTCCCACGGAGAATTCACTATTGAGCCCCCCAGCAGCATTCGTAACAATAACAGTATGAATCCCAAGCAACTTCATAACCCTCATAGGAAAGGTAACCTTCTCTATGGAGTGACCTTCAAAGTAGCTATGCCCCACCCAATTAACCCTCTCTGAAATCTCCAACAAAGGAACCAAGAAAGCCATACTGTACCCTGCCCACCATAACCACCACAGGAGTCTTCTTCTCCCCCAAAAGCCCAAAGACAAACTTACCAGCATGGCCGACAGCTGATGCGGCCCACTCCCGATCAGCACAGCACGAAAGCTCCGCAGGAGACAAAACAAACCAGTCGAATGCGGGAAATGGGGAATGCTCTTATACGAAAGCTCGAACAATTCTTCCTGGTCCAGCATCCCAGCCAAACCTCCAAGCCCTGATCCACAAACGATGCCCACATGGGGATTCTTCAATTCCTCCGGGAGGAGGTTACGGACATGATTCGCTGATTCGGTGGCCCGGGCGTAGAATGATTCCGACATGGTGTGTGTGGTCTGGGGGTTGTTGGGGTAGGTTTGAGGAATCTTAGGTAAGGTAAGGTAAGGTAAGGTAATGGGGGCGTAGACGTAGTGTACTGTACGTACCCAGAACTACTGAAAGCAGAGTATTGTGCAGTGTGGTTTTTCCAGAGGCATCCGGGTGGAAGCGGAAGTTAGTCCAACTTGGGCGGGAAGAGATCCCACGATCGGACCACGAAAACGAGCGCGGGTGTCCCGCCAGCGACAATGAAAAATTCCCTGCACTTTTCCCGCAATAAAAACTGCACATGCACACCGCGAACCCGATCCAACAGCTCGATTCCGATATATAAGTGCAATTGATCCTCCCAAAACATTGGTATTATCCGACCGATATCATACCGGTAGGTTCGCCTGACAATTATTAAACCATCATCATACGAGTAGAGTGCCCAAGTTCGTATAGGTAGACTATTATACCAGCACCGGTGTAGTTTTATGATAACTCCCACCCGAGAATTCGCCCCATGCTGAGTCCTTAGCCCCGCAACAACCGGCGGTGGGACAGCCCACCAACTCCCACAACGACCCAGCAGACAATCTCAACGGCCACCTACAGCACACCGAATCACTCGGTTAAATGTTAAACAAGAAAATTCACTATGATAGCATACTGGAACAGTAACAACCTCCCATTCGCCAGCAACAGATAACTTAGACCCCATCCTACCCCCACCAACATCACCACAGCCCAGTTCCATCCCGAAAGAAAAAGAAAAACAAACATGACCGCCTCCCCCTTTCCTCCTCCGCCTCCCCCTCTCCGCCATGTTTCGGATCCCGTATCTCCTGAGCACAACCTATACCCGGTCGTGGGTACTTGTACTAGTACTTACTGCACTTACCGATGGTACAAGTATAGTAGCACAAACGCGACCTCGGGATTGTAAATTACACCACCTTTTGTTTCTGGAGGCATGGGGGGGGCTATGGCACAGTCCATCACCCTACGGTACTCGTACTTGTACCATCCCAGTGTTTGTATATTTTTATCAGACTACCACCGCCCCACCCCGCAGCACAGCGACAGACAGTCAAAAACCCTTCGATACTCGTAATCTCGAGCTCCAAAAAACCCTAATCGCGAACCCTAAGCCAATGCTGGGCGCTAATGGATGACTTCTCGTATGATATGGTACTGTATTAGGCATAGGTTTCGAAAAATTCCAGTCTTCAATCATCATTATCAAGCGTAGGGTTTTCCCCGGAAGAATTTGACCGATGATTTTTTTTTGGGGGGGGGGGAAATAAACGGAAACCAATATTTATTTCTGAAATTTCCAATGGCAGTCTATTTGTGGTGCAGGTTACTCGAGTACTGTCTACTCGAGTAGCCAGGTGAAATTTAGAAAAAATTGTTCAAGACGTCTACTGCTGGAAGCCATCCAACCTACCGCGCCACGTCGAAAACACCTTCGACCCACCATGTAGCGGGCGTAGGGTTCAGCATTACAGTACCCGTACAGGTACGAGCAAGTATGGTCCAGCATCGTACAGCATTCCAGCACGCCCATATTCACCAAAATGAATCCCGGCAGGAATGAAATTCTATTTGGCTAGGCTGGCTGTGGGTCCAAATTTTGAATTGGAATAGAACAGCTCCGTGCCCGGTCATCACCTTTCATCCTATCACACACACACACACCGTTCCATCGGTGTTCCGGTGCCATCAATCGGCCGAGTGGCCGGATCGCAAAATAGATGTATACGGAATGCAAAAAATTACTCCCAACACAACATCATTTTTGAATACTGTATTCATATCGAATGTCAAGAAAAATATATAAGCACCGTTAACCCAAAACCACTATGTAAGAGGAACCAGCAATAAGGAAGCAAATGACGGGTAAAGACATGAAAAAAAGATATTTTATAAAACTTTCGCTTGACGTAATCCGCACCAGCCCAATCCTATCCAGTTTTGCCCCCCCCCCCCAACCTGACCCAACCCGAGTAACCACATTCCGATCCCCAACCTTCGTTCACTCATTATCTCCTCTAGCAAACATCCCGAACCTAAGCATGTCTAAACGGCTCGTATCCAGCAGCCTGCTTTTTTCCGACCTCCGACATGGGTTTCATCCCGGATCCCGAACCTCCCTTGTATGGGGCAGCAATTCTCTCATATCCACCTCTGATACCGCCTGCGGGAGAGCTACTCTTTCCTTTGCCCTTGTGGTCGGTACCCATAACACGAGAGCGTCTTCCAGAGCAGCAGCAGGTGGAAAGCATCCAGAAGAGGCAAGCACCGAGGGAGAAAGCAACGGACAGCCATGTGATAATGAACATTTGCCTGTTGATCTGAGCATTGACGGAGAACTCCTTGAGGGCTTTGTTGAAGGCTTCACGGATGGAAACGTAGAGGGCGGTGGAAATGATGGATGCAGTGAGAAGGAAGAAAAACGCAATCTAAAGGACACACATCTTAGTGGTGTAAAGGGCATGGGTGAGGGAGGGATAAAGGGGGAGGGCAAACATACATCAGCAAAAATAGTAGTAACGCAAGATCCCCATCTTGAGAGTAGTCCAAACCATCCAACAGCGAAAGTTACAACCGTAGCAACCGCTCCGAGAACATACATGGCTATCATAACCTTGCTAGCAGCGCTTACAGCCTTTGAAACCTTTTTGACAGAGTCAGGGAAATCGACGTCCTTTCCTTCCGCCTCAACATCCAAGATGCGGATAGGGTCGAAAGCATAGCCAGCGGATGGCTTTCCACATTCGGTAACCTCCCAATGATCATCCAAAGACTGTCCGGAGCAGTAATTCCACAAAGACGAGGTGTAAAAATCTGCAAGTCCAAGGTCGCTAGCAGTAGCATTGAAACCCGACTTTAGGAGCTCATCGTCAAAATCCGTTCCGGGAATTAAGTCCATATTCTCTGGGGTATCGATAAAACGAGTATCAATCTATGCCGGGGGAAAGGGGTCAGCTTGCGGCTAAAAATAAAAATAAAATAAAAAGTGCGGTTCGATGGAAAACCCACCTTCAGGAAGTAAAGTCCGCTAATAAGACTGGAACTCTTATTTGTTCCTCCGATCATCACGATAACCACGCAACATAGCGATGCAAGCGTAAGAAGCATGGGCGTGAGAATACACGCAAATCGTCCTGCTTTCCCCATGATGAACCGGTTGTGTTTTTCTTTCTCGCTTGTAGCGTGAATCGGGTATTTAGTGAATGGGGAGAGAGACTCGCGAACCGAATCAATAGGGATGGAAAAAGGGGGAGAAAAAGTACTCGGAGGGTGATGGTATGGGGGGTGAGGGGGAGAAAGAAGGGTTATGTAGAATGGGGTGGGAAAGGGTTGGGTGGGGAGGAGTAGGTGGTAATAAAGCTCGGGAGGGATGACAAGAAGGACCACAGCTGGAGGGTACAGAATAGACAGCGTCGCGTTCTGAGAAGCGTGGCAGCCAGGGCAGACAGGGTCGGAAGGAGGCTGAGTAAGTACCAAAAGCTGACGGTGGGGGGGGTGGTTAAAGATGTGGGTGTGTTTAATAGTGTGAGTGAATGATTGCTCTGGTAGAGGGGCTGACGATCAGATCTACCGTATTGGAAAGAACTCTTGAGGGATGATCCTTTGTGGGTTTCCTTAGAAATTTTGGCGCCAAGATTGGACTGGGCACAGATCACTTGAGCACGGCACTGCACCTGGTTTGTCGTCCCTACGAGTGCGAGTACCAAGGCACTGTGAGAAATTGTATAGTATGCTGGGGCAGTAAGAGAGGGAGTTCTTAGTATAGTATTACCGCGCAGTCCACGGCTCCAGCCTACCGTGTCTGGCGAAGCTAGCGTCATCCTCTTGGGAATCATGACGGTGGCGATACCGGTAATACAATCTCATGATTTTATATGGCGGGAGGAGGAGTGCGAGAAGAGCTCTCCATGAAATAATTTGTCTAACGACTCTTTTCCTCCGAAATCTCTAATTCCCCGCTTTTGAGGTGCGGCACCATTCGAGTGCTAAAAATCCAAGACATGCAGATGGTAAAGCATCCTCCCAAGAAACCACAATCGCTGGTGTGCTCAAGTAAGCTCGACCCCCATTTGACATGATGAACAAGCAACGTGCGAGCTCGTACGGTAGCTTACTACAAGTACGTACTGTAGCAGATGCAAACCATACTAGGAAACCCCTTCACGAAGAATCCACTCCACCAGGAGGAAGACACAAAGACACAAGAAGCAAGAGAGAAGTCCGCAAATCACCACCCGTCTCTGCCAACTCAGCCTCCCTTACCCCAATCCGGCATAACGTCAACAGAGCCAAGCGAGAGGGCTGTAAGGATCTTGTATCACATCTCACTTCATCCGCAAGAATGAGGTCAATCAACAAGAACCGCAGCGTTACCGAACCCAATAATAGCAACTTACCTGTTTCAAGGTCTCGGGGAATCCATGGGAAAACGCCCGCCAAGAAAAATGTAACAGCCACAGTCACGCCCGGCGCCTCATTACCCCTTTCCAATTCGAGTAGGATAGGGTACCGTAGTCTCCACCAGCCAGCCCAACACGGTTCATCAAACGGTCAGCGAGGAGAATTCTGGTAGGAAAATGTTGGTTCGCTGCTTTGTACTACTGTACCGGTAGTACTGTACTCGAGTACTGTATGGTGTAGGCACCTAAAACGGGCTCCTGGCTCTCAGTGCCATCAAGAGTTGGTGAACTATCCCTAATATAGCAGGTGACATTATTGCTTTAGGAAATAGATCGGCGTAGCAGTCAAGTACTCGTACTGTACCGTACTCAACCAAAACTGCCAACCCCAAACTTTGCCTCCACTTCAAGAGCCATTGCCCGAGTACAGTACCGGTGCAACAAGAGTCACCGCTCTAGAATGAAATCTGCCCCGTAAACGTGCTCCCCACTCTACATTATTTGGGGACGTTATACAGGAATAGATAAGATAAAACAATAGCTCGTCGTCGTCGGTCGAAAGGTTGGGAAGACTTGGTTGTCATGGGGGTTGGTTCTAGGCTTCCGGCACCGGAACGCGATATCTCACAGCCTGGCTATCGCTAGAACCACCAGCCACCAGCTGCTTTCCCGTACTGGTACTAGTCACTCTAACGGGTACTAGCACAGCATCATCTCATACAATTACTTGCACATTGTGCCAAGCGGGATTATCCACTCCCCCCTCAGTCAGATAAAAGTCACATCCCAAACTTTTTCCCTTTTTCAGCCGTATCGGTAAGCTAATTTATTATGGGTGTATGCGACCGGGAGGGGTAAATTATTATGATAACACACTCAGCTCTCTGCCGCTTCGTCTGTGCTCCAATCCTGGACGCAGATAGGATGGTTCAAAGCTGAAAGGTGTGGATTTGTTAAGAGCATCCCAGTCCTCTCGCGCCTTAACGAGATCTCAGGATGCGGTGGCATGTTGCCGTGTGGCTGGCCCTTACGAGTACGGTATGCCAAAGACTTCTCAGTGTGGCTGAGCATATCCACGAAGAATTCCTTTTTCACTTTGATACCCCGGATTTCCAGGATCGTGCTGTAGTCGTTTGCCGATGAGTGCGAGTGTGCGCTCCATGTGCTTTATCTAGATACAGTACCGGTATGGTATTTGGCATCAAAAGCAACTAATCTGGTGAAATCCTATGGACCTGCCGGGGATCTGCACCTTCGACGTCTATAAACTTGTTTTAAGATAGTGGAACATATTAACAAACAGTTTCGGAGAAGAATGCGCGGATGGGGGAGTCTCTGCGAAAACAGTGCCTAGAGACCTTAACCTAATGATAATGGGGTCTCGGAACATTCATGGTATGATATTAAGGTCAAACCGGAAGCACCGTGATCACTCAAAATTAGACTTGAGCGAGGTTGTACAAATATGTAACTTGCTGACTCATCTCCCAATTTTCTTATGGCACCCGGACAATGTTTATCCACCTCAGATGGAATACCGGCACGATAACAGTAAATTGGACCGTGTAAGGACGGGAGTGGAAATTTGCCTTGGGTAAGGTTCTGTAGTCCCGTCTACCTCTCTCTTTCATCCTCATGGCTTCTTGCGGTGGGTGAGTAACCCGAAATACCTCATTTGTATCCAAGTGGGCTCAATACATTATGTATCGAGGGCGTGGTCTCTGGGCAGAAGACTATATGGTTCACATGATATTGCACCCTGCGAGTGCCAGAACCATTCCGCCCAGGTGGGGGTAAACCTGTTTTTCAAGTGCAAAAGAATGGGTGAAACTCCAGCTGAAAATTGAAGTCTGATCAGATTGACACTTGCAACTCAATTCACTTCTTGCTGGAGAGTCGGAGCCTACTTCAGCCCCGCCGATTGCCCAACAGCCGTGCTATTTGTGCTCGCAACCGGAGTCTTACATGGGGTAAACCTCTGCATGCAAAAATCTAAAACGTTACCATACCGTTAGGAGTCAAGCCCTTGATGCAAGCTCTCGGATGGGTCAGTCCACTAACCACAGAATCTATTCTCCGATCAGGCTTGGGAAACATGATTGGTGGTGAGTGATGAAGCTTGGTCTCAGAATACGAGTGTTAGCCATCTAGCTGCCCTATTATGTTGGATTGCCTATGATAACGGTGCATGTGGATATGCCGATATGTGATTCGGTGGTTTGCGGTTATGGATGGAGTTGTTTTGTGGTTTTGTGGTGTGCGGTCTTTGGGTATGTCGATGCCCGTTACCGGTACCGTTAGGTATCGGGTATTGGGTATTATGTTTCGTGAGGTTTCTTTCACGCCATGTCATTCGGCATATCTGAGTTTGCATAGGGCATAAGCTTTAGGGATCGTGTAGTATCAGGGTGATTCTAAATTACTTGAGATCACAGAGGATCATGATTTGTTATGATAGTATGGTGTGTTTCTTTAGGGTTCGTTGAGTCTCGAGAGTTGAGTTGCGCGGGGATATATATCTCCCAGGTTGTGTCCTTAGCTGGCGGAGGTGGATGCTTCTTATTCACCATTCTTTCCTAAAAATAAAAATAAATTCAGTCTCCTTCATTCACTGTGATCTGTGTCCTGCGGGTGTGTTGTGGAGTTGCGTCCTATATGCTGGACATAGGGGATTGCGTATGCTTCCACTCCATGTTTGTTGGAATTTTCGGGAGAGGAGCGGGAGGGGAAAATTCCTATATAACAGCTGTTTCCCCAAGTTAAACCACCACTCCCCTTTCCCCAAAGAACATTTCGCTGAGGCAATCTGGATCGGACCAATTCTCTGCACAACTTATCTAACTTCGAATTAACTATCGGATCATTTCACATATACATTTTTTTTAGATAATTTGTGTTAGTATGGGGATACCTCTCTCATGCTGATCTCTCTTCGAGAAGGTTCAGAGCCCTTGCCAGCAAGCTCGGTCTGCACCAACTTTTTCTGATGAGCTCCACTTTTAGGGATCACCAACACCACGTTGGGGGTCGTCCGGGATCTTTCGGCATTTGGATGCTTAGATGTGATTAACCTACCCGTATAGTAATGTAGGCGGGAAGAGTTATAGGAGCATAGTGATTAGGCTAACATATGTATAGGTCTTGTGCTTGCTGATGAAAGCACTTATAAGCAGTGAACCCAAGCGGCCAGTCCGTCCGGCTTTGGGTACGAATGGACTGGCCCAGGATATTTCCGGGACGGCCTGACCACCTGACCACCTTACCGGAAAGCGGCTTTTCGGCCTGGCCTGGACATCTGGCAGCTTTATCTAGGCACCTGGCGGTTTTGACTTGGGTTGCTGCAAGACTTGGCATCGCAGTTGCCTGGGAACCGCCGGGCTTTGGCACCTGTGAATAATTTCTGCCGGACTGACCCAGGCTTTTCAAAACTATGGCCAGACTGGCCGCTTGGGATCACTGCACGGTATAAGTTTCCACTGCATGACATCATACCAAGGATTGGCTGGGAGGTCCAAAGGTACGGATACCCTACTCTATTGAACTTATTTGTCTTCATTTAAACTCACATCCCGTGTTAGCCCTTTTCTTTCCAGTGGTTGTTTTCACTTTCAACCTCTGGGAGACTCGGCTCCTGGAAAGCCCACACCTCCCACCAAGGCTACCGGCACCCTCTCCACGTCTAGAATGCCTCACAATCCTATGTATCCGTTTTTGTTGTCCCATGGGAGTAATTGCACACGATGGCCTGCTGAACGAGTGGTGCTTTGATAACTTCACCCAGCGCAAAGGCTCTATCAAGTCTAAATTCGCTCCTATCCAGTGCTTCAAGAACATTTTTTGTTTAGTTTCAATCAGGGGATACCAGTGTTTCCCTATATAGTGAGCACCCGGCTTCAATGAAGTCAGATGGATTTAAATTGGCCCGCAATAAGTCACGCAAACCGCAGTTTCACGCGAGAGGATTACACGGGAAGTGATACTGGCCATGGGGGGGGGGTTAATTGGTGCTTTGGACAAAGGAAGGTTTGCTTAGGAAGATCACAGCAAGTCCACTCTCATGGATTTGATAGGGCGCCAAGAAAGGGAAAGGGCAGTGGACGATTTACAGTTCCGAATGCGCTTGAGCGCTATGGAGATTATTTTATGTATTGGTGTGGATGGTGTTTCGACCGGGCTGCGATAGTGGACTTGTTTGATTTTCGTTCTCCCAATATAGGGGAAGGTGTTGTCGGTCAAGGCCAATACCCTGGTACGAGGAAGCGAAGGGAAGTAAAGACTTGTGGGAACAGGGAGCTGTGGAAAGGTGGAAGAAGTTGGCCGGGGGAGCGATGATTTTTCTTGTGCATTCTTTTGTGTCTATGACCGCAGTACTTATCAATGAGAGTTATCTAATCGCTCGCCGGTTGGGGATATTTATGATACGTTGCCGTTGCATGGTAGTCTTGGGGGAGATAGAGTTGTGGTTATATCATAGGTGAACGCTGGACGAGTATAGTAGGATACAAGAACTTTTGTGAAGAGGAGTTTGCATAACTTCCCCCCGTCCACACCAGCAACAAAACTAAAAGGAATTCAACACATTCAACCCGCTGCCACCTATGAGGTTTGCCGGTACCTTGTTTTGGTTCAGAGTATGAGAGATGGAGTGTTTTATCTGTCGGTTAAATTGATCCAGACTCTCACCCTTTCCCCCTTCCCCGGACTCCCCTACTATTCACGTCAATTTCCCGGGGACGTATTATATTTGGTATCAGTTCTGGGGTGACCAGAAACGTCCACCCCCCCAAAGAATGCCCATTCAAGCGAGGCGGTAACAGTGCCGTGCGGACCGAGATGGGCAAAAGTCGAGCCGTAATGCCGCGGCTGCATGAAGCAAGCGGGAAGGGTAGGCACCGTTCTTCAACGTTGAAACTGTAAGTTAGCCCCAGCGAATAAAAATTCTAAGATAGACGTCCGTCCATCCATCGACAATTAGACTACCGTACTACTATACAAGTAACTATTCATGCAAGCCCTACTTAGCCGCGCACATTGGAAAACACTGCGGACCCTGCCGCCCTCGATTGGGGCAACTACCGGTACTGTAGGACTCGTGGATGGGTGGCCACGCAATCAATCAACCAATCAACCAATCAATCGATCACGACCAGGGGGATGTGGTCTTGATACGAGAGACATGGAGTGAGTGAGTGGGTCTTTATAATGTACGAGTAACCGTCCTTGTACTGTACTCGTATATATAGTCGAGCCCTCCCCCCCCCCTGGCTTCTCCTATACCCGGGTACGATAGACCATCTTATGAAGAACATACTATCCACCCACCCATTGAGACAAATTTACTCACGCTTTGCAAGTCATGACAAACTCTCCTATTGGATTTGAATTTGAAGGGGATTGGGTTGCTGCACTGCGTGATACCGATAGACTACCGTACTCGAGTATAGGGTATGATAATTACCCACTCTTTTGTCGACTCCTAACGCTTGCGCAAAGATGGGCAAGTTGGTCTTAGTCTACGGTAGCGGTTGGGGATGTGACATCACGGAGCGACGTCACGGCTTGGAAGAAAAAACGGCGGCGAAAGGTTCCGAGCTCATGGGGGCGTTTTGTTTTCCCTCTCTCTCTCGAGAGAGAGGATAGATAGAGTAGAGTATACGTACGGTACTTGTAGTCTGCAGTGGAAACCACCGAGCTGGAATAACTCACGGTATCATACTCGTGCAGTACGATCTGCCATAGTTTACTTGAAATATCATATCACAGCTTCTATGATACTCGCACCGGTACTTGCGGTATCTTGGGAATAGGTATGATAGATAGTAACGGTAAGTATGATAACTGCGAGTACGTAAGCGCGGTAAAAAAAAAAAACCTTTTGACTATGATAGCACATGCTTTGTTTATAGAAATTACGCAGCTTTTTTCACCATACCGGTATGATACTCGAGTACTGTAGACTACTCGAGTACAATGTACAGTACAGTACGGTAACTTAGTCTATTGTAGGAATTCAGCCCCCCCCCCCTTTTTGAGCGCCAGGTTTCAGATTTATAGTTACCTTGTATGACGTTGTGTGAGAAATAGAATTCGGGGGGGAAAAAGAAAAAAATATGCATCAACGTTTTTCAACAGGGGAGGTCGAACCACCTTTTATGATACTCTAAGTACTGTACTGTACTGTACTGTAGCATCTCCTATCCCTACCATACTCGAGTACCGGTATTTCTCTCTCGCCCACCGTACTCACCCACATACAAGTATTCATATTCACATCATACCTACCTACTACCCTACTCACCCACGACACCATTTGCGCAGGCGCCAATACATCACACAACAAAAAATAAATAAATAAATAAATAAATAAATAAATGCCACACCCCTACCGCCTCCGCACCTCCGCCGGTCCGGCCATCGGCAGGTTAACCCCCGTCCCCGTCAACACCCTGGAGAAGACTAGCGTATCGACGCAAAATGCGACGGTCCACCTGGCCCTGCACATAAAGAACCTCCGCACCGCCTCCTCATCCCCCCAATCGCCAGCTACATCCCCCTACTTTGCCCACAAGAACCATGCCAGCGACCTCTACGCCCTGTGCATAACCCTCGTCCCCAAGACTCCCATCTCCGGCGACGCGCTCGTGTGGGGCAACCACTTCAGCCACCCCATTCGTGACTCGCTGCCAATGGCCTTCCCGCTGCTGTTCTCCGCTGCGAGGTGGATTGATCCGAGTCTCGACGCGGACGTGTATGCGGATGAGCCGTGGATATTTGGGCCCGCTCTGGCGTCCATGTCCGCCATCTCCACCTCTTCCCCCAGCTCTCCGCCTTGCCCCGAGAAAAAGGGAGGCGGAGGAGGGGAGGAAGTCGGCGGGTTGGTGGAGGATAATGGAATGGGCCTCACGGCGAAAGCGCGCAGGAAGCACTTCCTGACGGAGCGTAGGAGGAAAGAGTGGGTGTTTGAGCCGGGGAAAGTGTACGAGATGGAATTCTCGGGTCCCTGGTTGGATCTCGCCGAGTTTAGGGTCGTGTTGCCCGGATTCAGGGTGGACATCTTGAAGTATTGGGATGGGCAGCCCCTGAGGTTCTTGTTGAGGAATAGAGCGAGTGGGGAGGTTTATCTGGTTGTTGAGTTTGACCTGGTGGAGGGGGAAGAGGAAGGGTCGGATGGGAGGAGTACCAGTAGTGGGGAGGAGGATATCGATTAGAACAGGTCTTCCATCCGATGTGGAATACCAGTACGGTACCCTATCATATCATACCTTGACAGGGATATCATACACTTTCATTAGCATCGCTGTGCCGTGTAGCCTTTTGCCGGCTCTTTTTTTTTTACCTGTGCTGAATGGTCTTCCACGAATCGTGGAATCTGATAAAAACTGCATGTCCAACTACGGTACCGTAGCCGAATAGATCTATTTACTGTGATACGAATAAATCTCCAGATAGCATTCAGGATATGATCTAAATCCCCCCCCCCCCTTCTTCGCCTCTCATATCTGTTTCTTTCCACCCTCTCCGTTCCTATCAATCCCGGGAATGGGCATCCTCCCACCGGGGGAATCAGGAAATCTGGCAGTCAAGACCTCTACACCCCCCTCCGTCACCAAGAGCGTATGCTCGAACTGGGCACTCATCTTGCCGTCGCTGGTGGTACTGGTCCACTTGTCTGGCCAAGTGGTATCCTTATACGTGCCCAGGTTGATCATCGGCTCGATGGTAAAGCACATGCCTGGCTTTGCTACACCTACGGCCTTATTCTTTGCATAATGGGGTACGTTGGGATTGCAATGGAAGAGCTGGTTGATACCCTGGTCATTTTGGAGTCAGTACGGTACGCCAGGCATACTGTGGTAGGAATTAGTTCACGCACGTGACCAATGTAAGTTCTAACGACGCTGCAATTTCTCTGCTTCGCGAGTTTCTCAATGACGTTCCCGGGGTCACGGAAAAGCATGCCGGGCTTAACGAGTTTGATGGCCTCGTCTAGACAGTCTCTTGAGGTCTCGACTACTCGTACGGTGTCAGGATTTGCTTTTGCCTTGTCACCAACGTAGTATGTCTCGTTCAAATCGCCGTGGAAGCCACCGTGATAGAGAGTTATGTCAAGGTTTATGATGTCGCCGTCTACCAGTTTTCTCTGATCTGGAATGCCGTGGCAAATAACCTCGTTGATGGAAGTGCATATAGACTTGGGGAAGTTTACATAGTTCAACGGGGATGGGTACGACTATGCAGGAAGGGGAAAATTAATAAGGGACCAAATATTTAGGCACGGGGGAGTAGAACATCACGCTCAATGCAAGCCTTATGCGCAATCTCATCCAGCTCATCCGTGGTAATACCAGGCCTAACCGCCGCAGCACAAATATCGAGAACCTCCCTAGCCAGTCTGCAAACCTTTCTCATGCCTCCAATCTCCTCTGCACTCAAGATGGCGATGTTTTTAGGACCTCCCCTGGCCTGCTCAGACTTGGGAACTCCATCCTCGGAATAGTCCGGACGCCTGATGCTCGGGGGAAGTCTTCTTGTCGGGGAGAGTGGATATGCAGGACGTATGCCGCCGGTATAAGGAAAGTTGGGAAATGGGTCGTAAATTCCGGTTTCTGGGTCGGTCGGGAGAGGTGTTGGCTTGGTTAGGTCTTTTAAAGATTGGAGAGGGATAGGATTCTTACGGGCCGACTGTTTATGAATAATTTTGTGCTCAGACTTTAGAGGTGTTAGCGGGTATCTTGTCCTCAGCTATTCCCCATCCCGTACGTCCCTTCGGTTAAGAGGTGAGTAACGGGCACACGGGGAGAGCCCCCAAAGCGAACGCGAAAGGAAAGGAGGAAAGAGTTACCCAGCTGGTCTTGAAACAGTCCTGCGAGCAGAAGAAGGACTCTTTGCCAAGTTTCAGACATGTTGGGCACTGGAGAGTAGATATGGGGTTAGCACAAGCCACTCCTATGCAGAGACGTTTTGCGGTGGCCATCTTTTCTTTCGTTCCGGACAGCCTCCTGGCGTGCTGGATGAAGAACAACGGAGGGCGAGGTTTTCCCTGTGGGGGTTCTGTCGAGAAGGTCCCTTGGGTGGAGGGACGGCGAGGAGGATTGGGGAACGAATCCGAATAGGCGAGATGAGTTGGTTAAAGGTGGTCAGATGGGTTGGGGAAGGGGAATGGGGGGAGGAGCGTTTAAATTAGCGGTTATAATATACTCGAGTAATCACTTTCGAAGCCATTGATAATGATAAATAATCTTTCGATCCACTGAGTCATAACAGTATGATAATATTACGATAATTATCACACAAGATTTATTGCTCCTCCATTCCCTCTACGAGTACGGTACTCGAGTAATCGTTATCCTAGATCAATCTGATTAGGCGGCAGTCCTTAATCCCTTCATGCAAGCGAGACTTGGCGCGTCTTATCAACCGGGCAACTAGGTTTTCTGGACCTTGTACCGTTCACCATTGAGAGATATACCCTTCTCAAGCCTATTTCTTGTCCCTATCATTCATTCTACTCCACTCTTTGATATATCGTCCCCTTCTCATATTGGTATCATACCCTCTCCTCTTCCATCTTCTCCCCAAGGCTTGCGCTTCACCCTTCGGGGGTCCCCTGCTACAGTGCGGTCGGTTGACCCCAAGTCATGATCTAGCTCACTGAAGCTAGGGTAGCAAGCAACCAACCCTCCCTTCCATCAACCTACCCTCCTCTTCCTCCTCTTCTCCCTCTATCTTCCCCGTTTCCATTCCATCCCTTCTTCCGTCTCACCCTCCCCCTCTCTTCTTCCTTCTCTTCCATTCCCTCACCCAACCACACGCCCTCCGGGTTCATTATCACGAGTGTTCAACAAACCTCTAGCCTCATCGTCACAAATATCCGACCATGGATACCCTCCCGCCAGAAATTCTTCACAATATCCTCAAGCCGGAGAATCACCCCGCTACCGGTTCATCGGCCAAGGGATCCTACTTGAGATTGCGCCTTGTCTGTCGTACTTTCAGTGATATTATTGCGCCACACGCATTCGCCAGTCTTTGCATCACCGACGATGAATGCACCCTAGATCGTCTATCCAACATTTCCGGACGCGCAAATCTTGCTCCCTTGTTGAAGTCGTATATTTTCCACTTCAGCGAGCCTCCTATCATTACACGTACTTCACCCCTTTCCATCCCCACCTCAATTTCACTTGACATGCGTAATGACAGAGTAACAGCCTCCAACATGAAAGACTACTTGAAGGTTATTTCCCTACCCAAAGAATTGTATGCGGAAACCATGTCGGCGCACACCGAACCATGCCGTCAACTAATTTCTCGCCTCACCCGAATCCTGAACTTCCAAATTTCGGGGGATATTGAGAGGGTTCATGTAAAGCTTCTCTCCGAATCTTTCCCGAATCTCCAAACCGTTGGCATCACCGTCCACCCTGCCCAGACCCTCTCTGACATACTGCCCAACTTGGACATTACCACTAGCCATAGCGGCAGTAGCAATTGGGGGCCACTTGTCTTTCGCGCCTTCCTCAAAGGCCTTACCCTCCGTGCCGAGTCCACCGCTGGGTTAAAACCTATCACCACTATTTCTATACAGGGTCTCATTGCAGACTGCCTCTTTCTTTCCGGTGACTTCCTTGACAAGGCATCAGTCGGGATGAGAGCCATCCGAGAAGCCAACTTCTCCATGACAATGGCGCAGTCCCTTCATGATGGCACAACCCCAAGTTGGCTCTACCCCGTCGGCCGGCTGCTTCGTGCTTCAGAGGATCTTAAGCATCTAACCCTCAGCACCATCGCCTACCCTAGGCTAAATTCTCTGGTGCACTTTACTCCCATAATCTCAGGGCCAACAAAAACTCCAACGGTTCACCATTGGAAACACCTCACTAAACTCTTCCTCCAACACGCTTTCATTCCCCGCAAGCTCTTCAAAACCTTTCTAACAATCCACAAACAAACACTTTCGCAAATATTTTTACACAAATGCGACATTATCGATCATAACCGTGTCTCAATGCTCATGCACGCCAACGTTTTCACCAACTCAGACCCACAAGAATCCCACCCGGCGCCCTGGATAGACATCTTCCGCCACCTCCGCTCAACAAACAAACCAGTCCTAGTCACCCTCTCACTAAAGTACCTCTCAGAAGGTAAAATAGCGCACGAGCACCACCTCCGCCAGTCCCAAGTCCGCGAGTGGCAAAAGTGGATAATGCAATCCCCAAGCGAAACCATTCCAGAACCCCCCGTCAACCCAGACCCCGAACAGAGCCCGGATGGAGTAGACTCGGAGTTCGATCACGAGGATACGCACTGGTGCCAGGATTGCAGCCAGCTTAGCTATGACAGCGATGGTGACGACGACGGAATTTTCGGAATTGGTTATCCACAGTTTGGGTGGCACGGGGAGTTTGACATTGATGATGAAGCGGATTTGGATGATGAAGAGGAGTTGGATGAAGATGATGATTATGCCGAGGAGGTGGAGTACGTGCTTCATCATAATCATTTCCATCATCACGGAAATCCGGACCTGGGGATTTGGTGAAACTTCTGATATTCCTACCACTGCTACCACCACCACTACTGATATTACTACCTCGTTTGTAACGGACTGACTGTCTGGCTGTGGTTACCGTGCCTTGATCGATTTCCTTTCCTTTCCTTTTTTGTTGATTTTTTAATAGCCAGGTTCTTCTTGTCTGTGGGTGTAGTTATCTTTCTTTTAATTCGCCCCCCCCCTTTTTTTTCTTCTTCTTCTCTCCCTTTTCTGTCTTTTTACCTCATTCGCTATCCTGGCGACCCCTCCTACTCACTTACCTACGTTGTTTGTCATGGTGTGTGTACCGATTGTATTATTATCACTATTATTCTTATAGCTCTGTGCAGCGTGGCTGAGCCACGTATTTCTATCTGCTCGTAGTTGATCTGTCTGGCTATTGCTATACTGTACCGGTGGGTGAGTGGACAGTGTGGGTGGTCTATATATATATATATATATATATCTTAAAAAGTTGCCTTCTCTTTTCCCTTCTCTTCTCTTTCCATTGTGTGAACATTTCACCCAGCTACGTTATGCTACTACATCGAGCTAGGTGGGATCGGTGGGTGGTTAATAAATTGAACTTAATTGATTGCTTGAGCGGTTGAAAGAGTGGTTTGCATTTTTGCCCGGTAGGTTAGGTTTACAAAAAGGCTGGATATCTGCCGTAGTATCGTATTATTTGCTAGAAGTACAAGTGCTAGAACGGTTGGTTAGGGGCTGATCACGTTCCATCACTCGCTCCCAATCATCGCGCCAAAACTTAGAGAGTGTGTGCGCGCGCGCTCTCTTGAACAAGACTAGAGTTATACATTCAATTATGGAGGACACATTGTGTTCGTGTTAAAAGAGTGAAAAAAAGAGTGTCGGAACATCATACACTTTCACATCCACATTATTATCCCCAGCCATCCACCCACCACCCCAAGAACCCCTAACTAACCAACCACAACAACCAAACAAGAGAACAAGAAAGCAAAAATAACAATTATTCATTAATCAAGTCTCAACCCCCAAAGCATGCCCAAGCTTCTCTGCTACCCTTCCGAAAAGACCGGCATTCTCTCCCTTCTCGTCCACAACATCCCCCCCGGCACTATCACTATCGTGCTGCTTATCAACAGTAGATCTCAAGTCCCGCTCTCTCTCCGCTTCGCCCCGAAGTGCTCTGCCGCCATCTTCTTTTTGCTCTTGGTATTTGGGGTCGTCCCGCATGGTTGTCCGCATTGGTCTTCGGTATTCCTGTCCCGACTGTTGTTCTTCTGCGAGGGGGTTGGTGGTGTTGCGGGGTGGGGTTGGGGCTGGGGGGAGCATAATACTAGTGGGTTGGGTGGATGAAGTTGGGGTTGTTATTGGTGCAGTTGGCTTGTTGTCCTTGCAGTCGCCCGCGGTGGTAGTGGTACTAGTAGCAGGTGCAGTAGGATAGGTTCCTGGAGGGTAATTACCTGGTGTAAGAATGGAAGATGTAGTATTATGAATGCTGTTATTATATCCTGTAGGAAAAACCACCGGTTGTGTCGTTGCTATCGTCGTCGCCGTGTTCATATCCCCGGACGTCGTCTCCTTCCCGACGTCCCCAGTCGACGTCTGTCAATCCTGAGGGACCGCGCCACGTTCATCCTCACGGTCACGGGAGTGGGCGTCGCCGTTGAGGCCATCAGCGTTCTTACCATCACGATTGCGGGGAGATTGGCGCCTGTCGGCGCCATGGTCATGTTCGTGGTCACGCTCATGCCTCCGGCTGCCGCGATGGTGTCCGCGATCTACTTCATCATCGGTAATGTCTTCGTACTGGTCATCGTCATCGGCACGATTAAGGGCCGGAGCTCCATGGGTGCGGTGGCGTTCATGCTCATCTGCAGGAACCCATACGCCTGAACCACGCATCGGTCTATCCTGGTCGGTCAAAGAGACTGGCTCACCAATATTTCCACTGCGAGTTCCACGACCGTGAGTACGACGTTGGCGAGAACCACGCACAGACAAACGTGGTTTAACAGCCGCTTTTGATTCGACCCAGCTGGTGAGAGCATCCTCACAATCTTGAATGATGCTATCAAGACATTAGCATAACCTACAATCCCATCATGTGAACTCATAAAACACACCTTTTGCTCGCTTCGTAGCCGTCATAAGCTTCTCGAGTTTCACCGGGAGTAACTGCCGTGTCATCGATAAGTTCCAATAGGTGTTTCCCGTACCCCGCGATCAATGCCAATTTCTCCGAGTGTTCGCGGAGCGCATCAAACTGATAGGTGAACGCAGACTTGATCTTCTCGCGGGTGATATTTGACAGCTGAGCCTCAGCAACAAGTGACTCGGCCTCCGCACGAACCAATTCCTGTTCAAGGACAACGATCTTGGGAGAATTCGGATCCTTGTATTTCAACTGGGCAATTTGATCCGTGATCTTCTGTTTGCCTATCAGACGCCGGTTCAATTAGCACATTTCCGGGTCCTGGCTCTTTATCGCAAGCACTTACGATCCCGGCTAGGCTGCACGCTAGCTTCAATATTCCTGATACTCTTGATGGTAACCCTATACTGATCGTAGCGATCAATGAACTGATCCTCAAGCTCTCCGATCTCGAATATGAGCACGCCCAACTTGTCGGTGATATCTGAAACGTCCTCATCACATTCTTCTCCCCAAATAGAAAGCTGCCGAGCAACATCACGGCGCTCACGGCCAACGAGCTCCATAGACCTCATAAGATTCTTCTCCATCTTCACGAGTTGCGAGAGCTTTTTTGCCAATTCCGGTCCACTAGAGCGGCAGGTATAACCGGTTAGCCCGATAAAACAACAAAACCAGAGGAGGTGAGCGTACTATGCGCCGGCCATAGATTTACGAAGGTTATGACCTGCAGCACCTCCAATCAGCATCATGTTAGCGACTTTGGATCATTCCGCGATCTCTCCCGCTACCGCATGTCAAACAAATCGGCAAAGCAGTAACAAAAGAGTATCAAACGAAACAATTAGAAAGCCCGAGAAGTGCGCATGGCTATTGATATGGGATACAGCGAGAGAGGGGATGAGAGACCAACCAAAATTTCCCCCACCAAACAACCTGCCAACCTTGGTGCTACTAGGTGGTGGAGGTGGTTTCTCAATCTGTGATTGGGTTGGTGCGCGCGACTGGCGCATTGAATAAGTTCGATGCATGACTACTACAATTGATGATGTTCGTTCTCGCAGGAATAAAAGGATGATGGGGGTGATGGTAAAGAGGTGAGGTGGTTGATCAACAGATGTGGGGGTGCCCGGATGAGAAGTGCAAGGATGGCCTGGTTCAACGGGAACGAGGATTGATACCAGTATGGTATCACCGGAGAAGGGATTAACGCACAAAGTACGATCAAACGATAGGAAGCGAGGAAGGAAGAAGGACTGATACTCGAGTAGATGAAAGGGAATCAGCTGCTAATATGCATTGCCTGGAGAAGTAATGGCAGAGTGAAGAGAGGGGAAGAGCGGTTGGAATGTGGAGGAGGAAGTTTGTTCGTTTCCCTCCCTCCCTCTCCCTCCACCCAGCAATGACGCAGACCACCGTTGCCATGATGTCACCAAATTTCGTTCAGAAAGTGAGTGAGTGAGTGTGAGCGAAGCCTGGGTGAAGAATGAGTACCGGAGAACCAACGGAGCCGTGCTGAGACTAACTGTCGTGGGAATGATGCACCAGGCGATCCTTTTTTCCCTGCAAACGTCCCACTCCCGTCATAAGGACCTAAGGCGGTGGGGGAAATCGCGCTTGTACGAGTACGCACGGTTAGAGAACTAGCAGTATTGAGCTCTAGCTGTGAAATCCCAACTGAATGGAATTATGTCATCAATGTTCATGGCGAGAGATGTTGGGGAGAGGGGATAAGGGAGAAACATGTTACTCAACTTACCGGTACCTGTTGGGAATCTTGGAGGCATTTAAGGCTTGAGTGGGGGGGTCTGGATGGATCCCACTTCCTTCACCCCCGAGTAGCGAGCCCTGAGACAATTCGACTCCTGGTCCGATCGATCGTGGCGCGCCGCACTGTACGAGTACGAGTGTTGTACGGTACTGTGCTCCATCATTACTGTACGAGTACGAGTATGGTGAGAGTCTTTTGCAGCCGGAATACTTGGCCGAGAAATATTTCCCAGCCTCAATCCCCAAAGTATTTTCAGCAACCACTCCAATAAGAAATATCTTAGGTTTTTGGAGTTTAAAAGCAGGTTTCACTTTTCGTGTGAGCCATGGAATGTCCAAGACATGTTAAGTACTGCAAACTTCCTTGGCAGAGACAGTTAATTGATGTTTGTCAGGGTATTAACCAGTATTAACGCCATGCTCGGTGGATTAACATACTACTGCCGAGCCAGGGTGAATACCTGGCTACAGGTGTCCCTCACGATATGTTACCTGTATCCAATGATAACGCAACGCACAATTCGATAAGACCCGAAATCGCGCCAAGTATTGGTGCGGTGAGGGGGTGAATACTCGAGCAGAGTGTGGGGTGGTGATAGGAGGCCTGGAGGCGACAAGTGATTGCCCATGATGGCTCTCATTTGGACTTTGTAGATTCGGTGTATTGGAGAGAGAAGTGGGCCAGACGCAGAAGTGAATCGCTTCGTAAGTGAATTTTGCTCAAATCCTCACCGCAGAGTTTTGACAAAGCCAAATCTCCGAATCCAACTCAAAGAAGGGCAAATCTAACTCCATGTGCTACGGCACTAGGAATACCTCCTACACCCCCAGCGTTGGGCCTCAATTGATAATTTTTTTTTTAATTTTTTTTTTTTTTTTTGGCGCATTTCTATCTGGTCCGCTTCCCTGCCCAACAGGTCAGGGAGACTCGAGTAGTTGAGATTAAGAATTCTCAGCCTCAGCCTCGATCATTGATTGATCTTCAGCGTCACACGGTGGCGGATCCGCCTTTTTCACCATTTTTGACCCAAGCGGCATTAGCGCAATATCGGGTTTAATCGGGTGATACGGTGCTTGTGTGCGCGGATATGATATCGTACAGTACAAGTACCAAGCGCCGAGAGACAATTATAATAGCGATATCTTCTTGTACGAGTATGAATACACCGGATCAGGCTTAACTCCCCTTCCGAGGATTTGCGCTGACACGGAAAAATCACGGAAATCACCAGCAAGATATAAAGCTGCCGCATAAACTCCGCACCATAAACTCCGCGAATCCTCCGCTCCATGATTGCAAAGCATTCCCCGTGGCCACTACCGTAATCTCTCTCTACCTACGGCCCTGTACCGGCATCAACTCTCCCGATCAACACTGACCGTCATACTACCCCTAGCACTTCCCATAGTCCCCTGCCCTTCCTCAACCTCAATTTTGACAATGAACTCCCCCGGCACAACTACCAATCCAATGTAGCGGCTCTTAAGAGTTAACTTCACTTTCCCCTCCTCGACAACCCCCTCCCCACTCTCCACCTCCGCTCGTAGTCCATTCCCAGTCGGATACCGATATTCATGTGTTTGTGCGAGTATGAGGTTTTTATCCTGGCCCCCCTATCAGCATAATGTCCCCCGATATATTGAAAACAAAGAATGGATCTCTTTGCTGGGTCGTGATAGTGACGGCGCCGACGACGCTGGTGCCGGTGGCCGGGTGGAGGGGGATGGGTTAGGGTACTTTATCAGTGCACTTCAGCTCGCCCACGAAAACCCTTGTATCGGTCGTGGTGATGCGCATCGTCTTGTTGATGAACTCTTGAAGGACCGGCGATAATGTATCGGTAGTCATGTTTTTTCTCCGGCGCAGGTTGAAAAAATTTAGAATCGATGGCGGTGAATGGGACATTGTGATATTGTACCGGTACCCTACCAGGTTAAGGGAAAAAAGAAAAAAGAAAAAAGGGTTGTTTCGCGCCGTGCGGTAGTTTCGACCCGAATTGACTGATCAAGCTGTGTGCGGGTGAAGGTGTCGCTGGTGTGTGTGTGTGGATGAAGCAGGGCATGGCAATGACATGGGAAGGACTCTGTATGCACGGACCAAGTTGCCAAGATGGTTTTAGCGTCCGCCTCCTTTTCTTCCATAAAGTGACAGAGAAGGCGGAAACGAAATGTTTTGGTGGGATTTCGCTTTTTTGTGATTGCTCATCCGACGCGTTTTATGGGGCGGGCGGCACGGGAGCAGGGAGTTAATTTCGCCTCATAATCGACGGGATGGTCGCCGCCAATCACACACAGGCTTGGTGAAAACATTGTGCGTGGAATTGTGCACCACCAAGTGCTGTACTTGTACTAGTAATTTACAGTACGAGCGCCGTATGGATAGAGAGTTGTTTACCACAAATTCTGCTGACCGCAGGTTGGGGCCTTTTCCTTTTGCCGTAGAATCTGGCCTGTATCATACTTGGAAACGCAGCTACCGTAATGTGTCTGCGAGAAGCATGTGTGCAATACCACCGGTATAGTACAGTATATTTTGTACACGCAATGGCGGTGTGCAGATTCCGGGGAAACTGGTGTCATCGGTGATCGGAACATGGCACAGTTGAAATGCAATCCCGTGTTAATCCCGGTATCTCTCGGCATGATTATCCATCCCGGAGCACGGAAGAAATCAATTCGCCGGATTCAACCCTTTAGACCTACCGGTGCTCAGTCCACCATTTTGCTCCGTCCTGTCATGTCCCGTCCGTTTCTTCATTCTACCTCCGGAAGGGTAAATGGTTATCGATACGACAAAAGGGCCCTGCTACTGGTATTGTGGTGGATACGGCACCCGTGTGGATAAATGGGGCATTTCACAGGTTCAGGGAAGAGCGTCACGCGCCTACGAGTACTGCGGGAGCATGCGGAATCGTGGAGGGGAGGAGAATCGAGAACTTCTGAGGGTTGTCAGGTGATGATAGTTCCGCACACACAACATGCGAGCACTGCACCGGTAGTCTACTCGTATGGCTCTTGCAAAGCTACCGTGAGCTATTCACCTACTCGAGTAAACCGGGAGGCGAGAAGGGTAATGTCGGCGTGCATATCCCAACGTCAAAGTGGTGATTGATAATTGATAATGTGAAACTCACCATGGACTGACGTCGGACTCGACTTCAGCCTATTGGGGAGGAGATTGATAGAAGGGAAATTATGCCTCAATTTACCCCTTCCACCAACCATAATCGCCACATTCTAGAAGCCTTCCGAGATAGGATACGATTTACACAATTGCGAGAACGAATATCGTACTTTGTTGTACTCGTAGATGGTACCTCACTCGTGCGGTACCTTGCACTGATGCAGATGTAACCTATCCCACGTGGATAGTACAAAATACCAGTGCTTTGTTCTTACACTTGTACCGGTACCGCACTTTAGTCTAACCTCTGAGCAGTAGCTTCAACTGGAAGTCAAACCAAGCCAAACCCACTTTAATTTTTTCCTCGGTTTTCTTGGCTGCTTGGCGGGTTGACGGGCATATCGCCGTCTGGGGGGGTGTCAATAGGGTTCTTGGAAGCAGAATTCATACTGTGCCGTATGATACTTCTTAAAGAACGCACTGGCTAGAGACAGTGATAACACATGCTTTTTCCCTTTCTCAAGGCTGATTTGAGAGAGGGGGAGGTTGTGCCCACCGGGCGCATCTTGCTTGCCCAGTACCGGTACAGTACTCATACCAGTATGGTGTGGAGTTTTTATTCGAAAAATTTCCTCCTACCCTTTGCTTCGTTCTCACTTTTTTTTCTTCACTTTTTTTCCCATTCTCCTTTTTCCCTTCTTTGGAGGTGGGATCTTTTTGATGTTGGGGCCTGATGTACTGTACGGCGCCGCATGTAAGGTTTTTTTTTTTTTTTTTTTTTCCAGAGGTTGTTCATTCGCATGGTGTAACAGAGGTTGAGAAAACTTCTTGAGGTTATGATTGTGGACCCTGCCTGCCATACCATACCGCATGGTTGTTTGTTGGAGGTGATTATCGTAGAGAGAACCGGTATCCGTACGGTTCCTTCTTCTCCCGAGGATAGCTGATTTGTGTGAGGGAACAAGGGCAAGGGAATTGATTCATCCGAATTCCTGCAAAAAAAAAAGGGAAAAGAATAAAAAAGAGGGTGCAGGAAAAAAAAAAAACTTGTTCAAATCCCACTCTGTTATGATACCGGGTACTGAAACTGTGAGCACCGTACCGGCACTGTACGAGTGAGTGCTGCACAGGTATTCGTCCCAGGCAAGAAGTGTCCGAATAAAAAATATACTCAGTATGTCCAGTCATCCGTGGGTATCTATGCGCGCGAGCAAAATTATCCTCAATGTTTGGGTACTCCTTTCCTGGGATGAGTGCTCTGCTCGAGTGCGGTACCATAGCTGGATTGTGGTCGGTGATGAAATTTCTTGCTTCCTGGTTGTCGGCTGGGGTGGGCTGGTTAGCTGGGTGTGTGGCAATTGCATGGTGCAGTGCCGTGGCTTGCTGAAGGTAATACGAGTAAGTTACTGTAGAACACCTTCGGTTCTCTCCCTCTTTTTTTTTTTATGGGGGCACCATTCGTCATAAAATCCCGATGCCTCTTGGTTCCGTCGACCGAATGAGCGGGTTCGATTGACCTGCCCTGGGGATTATGATAGTCTACCTACTATTTGAGAGATGTTATCACGGTCTATCTACGAGTAGTGGGATTACCCTTACAATATCATCACCTCAGAGAGTCATACACCGAGGGAGAGAAAGGGGGAGCTCGAGGAATATTTCTAAGCTCTATGTAACCTATTCCCGAGCGCGCGTGCTGAACTTTTATTATTATTGTTTACCCCCCCCCTCTGCTTGTGGCGGTTAAAGTCATCTATGATACCTCTCTGTCGGGTGTTGCTGGAGATAAAGTTTCTCCGGGCATTTTTTAATAATCACGATCAGCTCCGTCGCAACTCGTTCGACATCCTACCGGTATTAGCGGTATGATATTATATAAGAAGCGGGACTGAACTGAAACCACAAACCCTGTCTCCCCCCTCTTCATTTTTTCTCACTCTGTGTGCCGCCGCGCATCTTCATAACCAACTCCTCTCCCACCAATTTTTTTTCTTCTTCCTCCTCCCCACATTCTTCGCCATTCACGCAATTGGGATTTCCCGGGAAAAAAATCCTTCCCATCTCCGCGCAAGCTTTGTGCTTCAACGTAGACTTACCGTCAGATTTTCATCTTCCCCAGCAGCGGACTTGGGAGCAATCTGTGGAGGAAAAGTTGGACAAGGAAGCTTGACCCGTCATCACCTAAGGTGAGTTTGAGTGCTTTCCCAGACAGAGGATCCGGATAACTGGCCTCTTGCTTTCCCTGCGGGAAAGGTATGGTTGGATGGTACTTGGTTGGGTATGTGTGAGAGGGGCGGTAGATTGGGTCAATGAATACGATAGTAGGACAGAGTAGCACCAGTCAATCAAGCAGTTAGGCAGACAAGGTGAGCAGAGGATGGATCAGGGAGGAAGTGGAGGAAGAATAGGAAGAAGAAGAAAAAAGAGGGGAGGATTTCAAAGAAAGTTGCTTGATGCTTGCTTGCTTCCCCCCACATTAATACAATTGGAGGAGGCTCTCTAGCGACTCTCACATATCCACCCCCCGTGTATCTGTCACAGATTGTCGGAGAGAGAGGGAATGGGGCCGGGGAGGTTATCTCCCGGACCTCTACAGTGCCGTGCTCCTCTTCTCCCTGCTTCATCCTACTGCTTGCATTTCTGCAACTGCAGCCGCTCTGCTCTTTGATCTGCTGTTCCTGCTTGATCTCTGTTACCGCCACACTTACCATCTATCCTTCATTCCTTCCATCAACCCCCTCCTTTTCCACTACCGGTACCGGTATTCCGACACGCACCCCCTTCCACACCCCTCTCCGTCCCTCGCTCATATCCAATCCCCTGTCTGCCGAGAAAGTCTCTTTCGGATACTAACAACTCATATAGTATCTAGCTACAACAAACTCCCTTTCGAAGCTATTTTATGGTCGAATTGTCTCCAAACATTCCAGACACGCTCTGAATCCCCCACCCCCTTCCCCCGCTACCCTGCTTTCCTGCTCTCATAGCAGCCTGCCAACACGGCCTCTCAAACGGGCAAAGCGGACCACGATTGTCCATTTACCCCCCCTCTCCGGTATTGTTGCATAATTCTGGGTCACCACGGAGTGCCATTCAAGACGACGCCGTTCCTCGAGAGCCAGTTCCTCCTTTTCTTAAATTCGCTCTTTGAACCTCCATAACCTTTCTCCTCCTCCTCTACCTCCCTTTTTCCCGTCGCATCATCCTCCATTCAGCCTCGTCTGATCGAGAATTCTTGGCTGCGGCCCACCCCCCTCCTCCAAGCTTCGCCACCAGGGATAATCAGCCAGATTTCTCTATCATATTACCAATCTTCTATTCCTTCCTCATACTACCTCCATACTCTCTCACTACCCGACTTTGCTTTATATTTGCTAGAGACAACTGCTTCGTTACTAAACACCCATACCTTGGCTAGACAAACAGAGAATGGGTCAGCAGCCTTCCAAGAGACCAGGCGAAAAGGGTAGCGCGCCGGCAAGCTCCTCCACGACATCGCTCGGCGTAGATGGAAACACCTTACCGATAACAAAGTCGGACACTCAAGGCTCTACAAGATCTATTCGCGGATCGATTCGTAATAAGATTGCAGCCTCGACCAACAAGGATAGTCCTTCGACCTCTCTCGCTGCTCTTCCTAGTGCTACAGACAAGTCTGATGCAGCTTCCGTTCGGTCCTCGACCAGTGCACGATCACGACGAGAGTCCAGAAGTTCTAACCCTAATCTTCCTCCATCTTTAACCTCCTCTCTCTCTCGGTCCGTACCGAACTCCGAACCTTCCACGTCAACGAATACCCCTTACGGTTCTACCAACTCTCTGGTTCCCCCACCGTCGCCGGTTCACGGATATGTTGGAAAGGGCCACTCTGCGGTGGAGGGTGGAAAGAATAAGGAGGTGGACCATGTCTCTGATGTGCCTGCTGGATCTGGTTCCATGCAACCTCCCCATTTGCAAGCGCCCAAGGAATCGATTTTGATAAAGCGGCCGGGCGCTCCGAACCCTGTCACCATCGGAAATGGGTCCACAGAGGGTGGTTCGCCTGGAGCAGACAATATGCAAATGTCCGCACTCAAGTCCATAGACCTCGACGATATGATCACGCGGCTTCTCGATGCTGGGTATGCTGGAAAGGTTACGAAGGCTGTCTGCCTCAAGAATGCCGAAATTACGGCCATTTGTCATGCAGCCCGAGAAGTCTTCTTATCGCAATCTGCATTGGTGGAGCTGAGCCCCCCAGTAAAAATTGTGGGGGATGTGCATGGCCAATACACAGATTTAATTCGCATGTTCGAAATGTGTGGGTTTCCACCCAATGCAAATTACCTGTTTCTGGGCGATTATGTGGACCGGGGCAAACAGAGTCTTGAGACTATTCTTTTGCTTCTATGTTACAAACTCAAGTTTCCGGAGAATTTCTTTTTACTAAGGGGGAATCATGAATGTGCCAATGTTACACGAGGTATGTTGTCACGTCCCGGTTGAATTATAATATTCATGTTACGGGGGGCTACTGATTGTGATCATCCGTAGTGTATGGATTCTATGATGAGTGTAAGCGTCGGTGCACCATCAAGATTTGGAAAACCTTTATCGATACTTTTAACTGTCTTCCAATTGCCTCAATTGTTGCGGGTAAGATCTTCTGTGTTCACGGTGGATTATCTCCATCTCTTTCACATATGGACGATATCCGGCAAATTGCACGCCCAACGGATGTTCCCGACTACGGATTGCTCAGCGATCTCCTATGGAGTGACCCGGCTGATATGCAAACGGATTGGGAAGAGAATGAGCGAGGGGTTAGTTACTGCTTTGGCAAGAAGGTTATCTTGGAATTTTTGGCGCGGCATGACTTTGATCTAGTATGCCGGGCGCATATGGTTGTGGAGGATGGATATGAGTTCTTCAATGATAGGACCCTAGTGACAGTCTTTTCGGCGCCGAACGTAAGTTGAACTCTTAGCTAGTATTTAGAGTCGCTAGAGAACTGACAGAGCGGGTTTATGAAGTATTGCGGAGAATTCGATAATTGGGGGGCTGTGATGTCCGTTTCGGGCGAACTCTTGTGTAGCTTTGAGTTACTCAAGCCCCTAGACTCTGCAGCGTTGAAGCAGCAGATGAAGAAAGGCAGGGGCAAGAGAGCATCGTTGATGTACCAGAGTCCGGTGAGTTGAGCTCCAGTCTCAGAATCCATCACATGCGATAGGTACTGATTATATTCGCCGGAGAATTACAGCCTGCAAGTATGGCTGCCCAAAGCGTCTAAACTTGACGACCGTGTCTTCTATTTTTCCCTAGCTTTTGTTCGGTGTCTGGACGATTATGACTGTAGCATGCCATGAATCACCTGGGTTCCCGAGGCGGGAGAAGAGGTCCTTGACGAATTTACATGATTTTCTGGAAACGCAGAGGGGGCAGTTTATGAGGGTGGGTTGGAAGAGAAGTGAAGTGTGCTCGCAAACCGGTGGGGGTGAATTTTGTCTTTCCATTTTTTTCTTCTTTCTCTTTTTCTCAACTCTTTTTACTTTTTGCTTTCTACTTTCCTTTTACTTTTCCTTTCTTTTCTTTCTCAAGCGTTATCGTCGGTGGGCAGAAGCAAGGTACGCCATTGTGTATCAATACGGAAAATAAGCAAAAATACGTACAATATGTATTTTGACGATGGGCCAGGTTGAAGATAATAGGGGGCACACGAGGAGTTGGCATCTTTGTTTCTTTTCTTTTTCTTTTTCCTCGTCTCCTGTATTTTTTTCTTTTTTCCTCTTCCCCCTCTATATTCATATTCATTCCTATTCGTACTCGTATTCTCATCTAGGCTCTGGCTTCTGGTGTTGGTTCTTTCTTGTCTTGTCACCATTTCTTAATTTATGGGAGGTTTTTTTTTCCCCTTTGCCTGTTCTTGATTCCACACAATAAGTTTCTGCTTTCGGTTCCAAAGTTTTCTCTGCTTCATTTGGGGGATAGGGATGGACTGCATTACGTTTGCTCTCTCCCCATCCCTCTTGTCTCGTCTTGTCTGACTTGGCTCATTCGGGCGGGTGGAGGAAGACTAGACGGGGGCGTTGAATTGCTTTTAGTCTGCGTTGCTTTACTATTTGCGGATGGGTCGGCCATTCTGGATGGATGAGTGTTTTTTTTTTTTGTAAGAAACCTAACTGGCTAGCTACCATACGATGTGATAAATATTCTTTTTTTTTCCTCTTCCTCTTTTCGAAGTTTCTTGAGACTGTGATGCTTGCTTACTTGCTCTTACTGTATGCAGTCATAATATGTCACTCGATCGTTTGGGTCAGGGTCGGACGGTTTGTTAGGGTCAGGGCAGTGAGGTTGATACCGAGGTGTGCTTTGGTAAGGTTTCAGCCTGCCCATTTGGGTGTTCCCGATGATTGGCCTAAATTGTGGCGTTGTATCATTTAATACCGCAAGAACTCGAATAAATGGTCCTTGTACGAGTACTATGTAGTCCAAAATTTCCTCCCCTGGAAAAAAGTCAAAGAACACAACAAAAAACACCGGACCTTACTAGGAGAGGCAAGTTCAACATCCTAGCATAAGGACCAGTTATTCGAGTTCTTACGGTAGGTGGTAGATCCGCAGGCGTACCGTAAAAACTCTTGATCCACCATCTTCATCCTGTGACGAATGTCCATGTAAATTGCGACAGCCCAGAACAAAATTGTGAAAGAAAGTTAATGAGATCCAACACAGCCAAATGACTCAGGCTTTACCACGTCAGGAAATCACTAATACTTCTTAAGAACTTTTAACTCAGAAGCTGAAGATCACAGGACTAATGGAGATGGTGGATTTAAAGAGTTTTTACAATATTAGAACGGACTGGGAGTGGTTGTTGTAGAGATGCAAGTACAGTACAGTACAGATGTTAGACTATTATGCATCACTGCGTAAGAGATATTGCGCGTGCCAGGGGTGCCAAGAGTGTGCGTGGTTAGGCGCCCAGAATGCTTGCTTGCTTGCAACCTGGGTCACCTCAACTGACCGAACTGTTCAGCGCATCATAACTTTGCAGTTCAACCTAACTTTCTATGACAACCTCAGGTAGCTTTGTGGCTCAACATGACATTCGAAGACTAGCATACCATACATGAGCCCTGTGATTCTGGGTGTCCACTGCCTTCACCAAATAATTTGCATCGGTAGACACCTTTGTATAAAAGTTTACTGTTAAAACGTTACGACTAGGTTCAATTCTCATTCATCCCATACTTTATTTTAATTATTATGATACAAGTATGGATGGAGAATATTGCAGTATCGGTATGCGGTTTACTCGCATCACCAATCAATTCTAACTTGGCCTTCAAACGAACTCAATAAAACTAAAATATAATTGAATTCATAATAATAATAATAATAATAATATTATTATTATATATAACAAAAAAACAAAACAGATGTTTCAAAATATTGACTTTATTGGCTTACAGTGAAATATTTTTTAGGTCTATCAAAGGATACTCTACATGCTAGAGGAGTTTTATATGAATTCAATTATATTTGTTGCATTTTCAAAGTTGTACCTTTTTCGCATAACTACACCCAAATAATAATAATAATAATAATAATAATAATAGTGGTAATAGCCAGACTGTAATCCTGATGTGAACATAGACTTGGCTTTTTCACAGGAAACTTTGTGCAAAGACAACTACTGACGTAAATTATTTGGTGAACACTGGCACTATAAACATCTGGAACCATAGAATATTATGTGTGGTATGATACTGGTACAAGTACTTGTAGTCTCTGAATGTCATGTTAAGCAATAAGTTTGCCATCATAACTTACATTGGGCTATAGAGCTATGCCGAACAGCAAAGTTAAACGTAGCTAATTATGGGGCACTCGCCCCCGGTTGCGAGCAAGCTAGAATTTGGGGGTTGCGACATCCAGTCATGCCCTTGGCACGAGTATGATTACGGTCAACCGCTTCAGGTTTTGCGGTACGGTACTCGTATTATGAAGGGAGGGAGGAGCTCTATGGTATGGTATTTTGCTTGCGGTTGGGGGGGGCATTTATTTATTTCTGAGGCTATTATGTCGCATGGTAGCTGGGAAGTTGGGGGTGGGTGGACAGATGGATGTATAGATGGCTGTGGAGATTCAGTCTACGGTGGTGGATTACGGGGCGAGACCGATGATCCGCCGCACCAGCAGTGCTCTCGTTAATGGGATATTGTACCCCAAGTACTTGTTTTTTTGGGTTTTGCAGGATTCCCCTAGTCTTCCCCCTCCTTCTGTTGTCCTCCCCCCCCTTCCATTGTGGGGCCCATATATATTTCCGTCCCTCTAGCTGGCTATTCGTTTGCCCATCCAGGAACCGCCCATGTCACCATAGCAAATCCTGGCTCCCAGCACCAGTCAGCCATAATTAACCCCACTACTGAGGCCGCATGAGAAGCAGGGGAAGACGAGGCGCCTCTTTTTTTGAAGCTCATTCACATTTTTGTTTTTGTAACACAGAAATACAATCACCCTTCATGGTAGCCCATATCATTAGCCGCATGCCGACATTGTATTACCGTATCCCTGCAGAAAAAAAATAAAGAGCAAATAACAAGAAAAAAAGAAAAGGCCCCGTTTTTATTGTTTGTTTAGAATTTCTGGAAAGCCTTCACGCCCTTGCCAGTGCGAGGGAGGACGCGGAGGACGTTGAAGCGAACCTTTCACAAGAACCTTTAGTCAGCTCCGTAGAAATTGATAATGGGGGAAGGCAGGGAGGGGTACAGTTTTCGACAAGGGCCTGCATTGACCGACGGTAACCTGATCACCCTCCTCGACACGGAAAGCTGGGGAAACGTGTGCCGAGATGTTCTTATGGCGCTTCTCGTAACGTTGGTACTTAGGGATGTAGTGCAGGTAATCACGGCGAATGACGAGGGTTCTGTGCATCTTTGTTGAGATAACAGTTCCAGTAAGGATACGACCACGAATGGATACGAGGCCGGTGAAGGGGCATTTCTTGTCTGTTTGTTGTTGAATTAACCAAATCCATTAGCCTTTCTTTCTCCCCATCCCTTGTTGCGTATCTTCCGAATCTCAAAAATCCATTCCTTCCATAATTTTCCAGAATAGGGAACAAACCAATATATGTTCCCTCGATAGCAGTCTTGGGGGTCTTGAACCCCAATCCAACATCCTTATACCATCTTCTCCCACCTTTTCCCACTCTCCTCTTTGCTGGGCGGGTCTTACTAGCAAGGAAGATATGGGGCTGCTTCTGAAACGCGCGCTCAGACTGGACTGTCAATTCGGTAGCCATATTGTCGTCAGTTTGCTGAGTTTGTTCTTGTTGTTGACGGGGTGTTGATGGCGGGGCGTGGGGGAGACGGCCGGGTGTTGGCTTTTTTTTTTTTCGTTGTCCTTGTCGTTGGGTGGGTTTAATTCACTTTCGGCGGCAGCGAGGTTTGACAGGGGCTGCATGGTTACCCGATTGTGTTTTGTGGGTGACTGTGGTGTTGCGAGGGTTCTGCCCTTGATTAGATTGATTTGATTAGATGGGCAAGATTGATTAGATCGTTTGGAATCAAGATGTCGGGTATGGCCCTTGTCTGAGGAGACAACGTCAATGGTGGTGGGATTGATTTTTGCTTTGTTTTATGCAACTGGTGATTACACCGATAGCATTCCGAGATGGCGAGTGTAAGGAGTTTGCTCCTTATTCCTTTGAGATACCACAGCTAAGCTCTACATAGCACGGTATTTCTAGAAGCGAATACGCTACGCAGTCCCGAGACGAGCATCGCCGGGCGAAAGAACTTAAAAAGATTGAGGAATACAACCAACTTGCCAGCACAGTTCAAGAGCAGGTATTTGTCCTCCCCCATGCAGCTGGGGAAAAGCTGACGGATAATAGAGGCTAGCGACAGAGCACAATCTTGAGGCGCTCGAGGGAACTACCCGTCTACTGAGGCTTAATCCGGAGTACTACACCATATGGAACTACCGGCGCGAAATCCTTCAACAGACGCTTTTGGCTAAACACTCACCTCCTGGGATCGCCCTTTCTCCTACTTCAGCTTCCACTCGAACCTGTCTCGAGGATAATGAAGCGAACCAGGACCCAGAAGAGGTTGCCACGTCTGTGCATGCGGCATACACTTCTAGGGCAACCCTCCACCTAAAGGAGGAACTCGCTTTCTTACTACCACTGCTCTCCTCATTCCCGAAATGCTACTGGATTTGGAATCACCGTCTGTGGACCCTCCAACGTGCAACGGAAATTCTACCCGCCGATAAAGCAGGCAACTTCTGGCAAGAAGAGTTAGGCCTTGTGGGTCTCATGCTACGTAGGGATGTTAGGAATTTTCATGGATGGATGTATCGGCGGTTTGTCATTTCCAACATCGAGTTTCCGAGACGGAAAAGTCTTTCTGGCGATGAGGTTGAAAACTCTTCATCGAGGGATACATCGCTTGTGGAACAGGAGTTCGCATATACAACTAAGATGGTTCAAGGGGTTGGCGGCATGAGTAATTACTCGGCATGGCACAACAGAAGTAAACTTATCCCGAGGCTACTGTCTGAGAGAAAGTGTGGAAGGCAGGAGAGGATGGATTTTTTGGAAGATGGTCTCCTTTCACTCCTCATTCTCACCGAAAAACGCTAATAAACGGTCATAGAATTAGAATTACTAAAACGCAATATATCTACGAACCCCCACGATCAGTCGCTTTGGTTCTATCACCGCTGGCTAATATACTCCAATACTATCACCCCGGATCGCGATACACCAAATGCTATCTCACCTTTTATGTCCCGCGGAACAAAATTGCTCATGCTAGCTGCCGAGATAGATACTCTTCAGGATCTACTTGAAGCGCATGCAGAATGCAAGTATATTCTCAAAGCTCTAGTCGAGTACGTAGGCCTATTACAACGGGTCAGAGAGGATCCAAGAGACCCGGAGGATGTTGAGGAGGAAGAAGAATGGACTGCAGATGACGAGGAAAAGAGGCGGGTAGATAGGAGGGTGTGGCTGGCGAAATTAGTCTCGATTGACCCGATGAGGAAAGGGAGGTATCAGGAGATACTAAGGGGTTTGGATTAGCACTGGTTTTCGCTTGCACTGTGTACTGCGGGGTGGGAATTTAAAGAGAGGCAGTGGTAAAATTCTTTTCTGGAGTTTTATGATTTTAGATGGGTTTGAGAATTATAGGGCTTTGTGTTTATTTACAAAACTAATAGTCCTGGGCATGAAGTTTTTGTAGACATTAAATTTTGTAAGTTACCGCATCTTTACGGAAGCTTGTAGATAACGGGATATTCAAGTGTACAATCGAGTGATGCTTTATGATGCATGTCCGAGATCGGATGAAGCGTAGAGTGGGGAGCGAAGAGATTGTTTCACATAATATTATTATAGAGAGTTTTATGACACCCACCGTGAGGGTGTTTTCATTTTTTTATGTTTAGTCGTGGTACGTTTGAGTTTTGTAACTAATGTACACCGTCTGTAAACTATTTGTATCGTACTGACGAGCTTGGTGCCGAAATAATTGAATGTAGACTATCATACGGAGGCAGTCTTGAGTACCTACTCGAGTATATAGTGTATGTGCCAAGAGATCTTTCAAGATTAGATGATTAAGGGGGTGTCAGTGACAAAGTCGCGACGCAAGATGCAACCAAGAAACTGCAGATCATAACAAACCGCCACAACCAAAACAATCCACGACTTTTCTTATCATACCCAGTAATATTTCCACCTTCACCCTTGCCCTTGCCCCCGCTTATACCATCGATAAGGGGCACGACCTTTGCTCACTGAGAAAGACACTCAAACACCTCTCCCCTTTACACATAACTCTGCACAATGTCTTCAGATCAACAGCAGCTGCCAAAACCGCGGCGCTCTCGCAAGTCGATTGCCGTGATGCCGAGTAGCTCTGTTGCTTCAACTCAAATAAGCAAAGAAAACTCATCATCGACAGAGTCAACAATAGCAAAACCTACTCGCAAATCTCGATCGAAATCATTGGGACCGGGTGGTCTCGATGCGCTGAATGGTACATCTAATGGCCGGGGGCTGAAAGATGCGAACGGTAATGGGAGGAGAGTATCTTCGGTTCGTAGCCACAACTCGCCCCTATTATGTATTCTCAACGAAACTGACTGAGAAACCACTTTTTTGTGAACTTAGATCATACCGCAGGCTCAAGTAAAGTCTATCTTAAAACCCACCTTACCGCTTTCGCCAATCCAGGCGATCCCCGCCCATAGGTCTCGAGGGGGTAATAAGCAATCATCTTCGGTATCCCAACCGTCATTGCAGTCATCCTCTGCAAGCACTTTACTCAATTTTCAACCGCCCCCCTTTCCTTCCAATGCAGTGCCGACCACAGTTCCTGTACGCACTGAAGAGGAGCAACAGAAACGGGCAGAGATTTTAGCTGCGAGAGCTGCACGTCGGCAATCTCTTGGTAACCGCCGTGTCTCTTTCGCTCCGGAGGCTACTCTTCATACTTGGGACGTCGTGGAGTACTACCGCGGTGACGATGGATCATCAACACCTAGCTCTACCGGGGGTAGTAAAGCATCTACACCTGCCACTGCATCTTCAAACCGAACAGGCGATTTCGGCGGTGTTCAGGCGACTCCTACCCCTGCTGCGCCCCCCGATCCAAGGCTTCCAGAAACTCCCCCGAGTGTACACAATAAGGGAAATAATCTCTCAGCTCCAACGCCACCTATGAACTTTAATAATCCCGAAGACGACTTTTCTTCCCCTTTCTCATCAGGAACTGAGGGTGCTCAGAGTCCCTTTGCCGGAATGCCCGAAGCGGAGGCCAGTAGTGATGACGATAGCTTGAATGATTTCGGCGATGACACTGCTGGCGGGCGGACATTTGTTTCGGTGGCGGGCGACACTACTGTGGGGGATATGAGTGTAGATATGGAAATTGCGGATGACGAAGTCACTGGAGCTTTTAAGGCGTTTGGTAAACGCACTGCATGGAAACTTGAAGGGGCTACAGAAACCGGCGAGCAGTCAAACCACTCGGAAACGGATGATGAGGCTGAGAGCCTTAGCGAGGATATGACTATGGAAATGACTCGACCAGTCGGCGGGCTTTTGCCATCCGCCCCTCAGCTTGTGACTGCTCGATCAGGGCCTGACGACGATGACGGCGAAACAGCTATGGACATAACCAGACCTGTGGGCGGCCTTCTCGCCTCCCCCAACAGTCTTGCGGCAACCACCACCGAGGATATGGCTGTGGATATGGATATCACGCGCCCCGTCGGTGGTATTCTGGGGAATGCCGCAAAGGCCCTAGAGAGGGAAAAGCGCAGGTCTCTTGGACTACATCCCCAACCTTTGGTCCAATACGATAATGAAGCTGGAGAGGATGAAGATATGGATATGGACATGACACGGCCACTGGGTGGCGCATTTTCTAGCTGCCCTTCCAGCGAAGCACCTACTTTCGAGGCCGAAAACCAGACCATGGATATGGATTTTACTCGACCTGTCGGCGGTATACTTTCGAATGCTGCAGTCAACGAATCACCTGGATTTGTAGACGAAGACCAGACCATGGATATGGATGTTACTCGACCAATTGGTGGAATCTTGTCCAAGGTTTCGGCACAGACACCGGCCATCGATTTGGAGGATCAGACGATGGATATTACTCGGCCATTGGGCGGCATAATATCTGCTCCTCAACCATGCCCTCCCTCCCCGACCTCACCTGATGCCGAAGAGAATGAGGAGATGACCATGGAGTTTACAAGCGTCCTTGGAGGTATTATTGGGTCCGACAAACCTAACGACACTGATGGGAATGTGGAACCACGAAGGGGGGGTTTGTTAAGTGGGGTTGAGTGGAATAAGGATCAGGAGCGACTTGCTAGTCTTGCAGAAGAGGATGAGGGGGAGTCAGCTATGGACATGACCGTTGCAATTGGCGGAATCTTGCCTTCGACTACAAAGGTGAACGAGCGAGCGGTAAAGGAATCTGCTTCGCTTTATCCTAAAGTTCCGGCTCTGCGGGGGACTCGGGATGCAGATGACACGGGGGAGGAGGACGGGGATCTCAGCATGGAGGGTGTTACTATGGATATCTCTACCGCTATCGGAAGCATCATGCCAAATTCTAGACCTTCGTCAGCCCGAAAAGGAAAACTGGGCGAGCATCAACAAATTGCAAATGAAGCAGTGCCAACACCTGTTGCGCCGTCGATTGCTGAGCTACAGAGAGAGATGGGGACTGTTACGGATCAGGGAAGCCCGACCCCAGCAAAGAGAAGAACTAGCAAGAGGTTGAGTGCTGTATCAGCTACGGGAAGTGAGAAGAGGGTTACTAGGGGGAATAGCACTGCCGCTCGCAAGAGCGTGGAGAACGCACATCCCCAGTCTCCAGTTCCTGCCCCTGCACCAATTGCTGCACAGTCGGGGACTCCACAACGGAAACAGGAAAACCCCCAAGCCACCCCCCAAGCCACGCCCAAATCCGTGCCGAACTCTACTCCCGTTACAAGGATTACCCCGGCTACAAGACCTCCTTCAGTTACAAAGTCTACTCCCGTTAAAGAGCCCATACTACTTACAGTGGAAAAGCGCAAGGAAGACTTCATCTTTGTAACCCCTCAGAAAAAGCTATCAACTCCTCAGCCATGCACACCTCCTGAGCAACTCACCCCAGCAGTGCCGGCAACTAAACCAAAGACTCCGAGCAAGAAGGCCCCAATAATTGAGACCCCACTGCGTGCGGGTTGTATCAATGGGGGTTACTCGATGGGCTCTAAAAAGAGAATTGGCTTCCCGACTTCACCTTCGCCAATGAAGCAGAAAACTCCAGTCAAACATGCTACGCCAATGGCTTTCGGTTCCCCCATGATTACTAAGGGAATGGGTATCGACAAACCCGGCTTGGGATCTCCGCGTATCGCAGCGAAGCTTTCTGAGCGAAAGTCTATTGGAGAGGAGATGCCCTCGTTCTCTCCGATTATGGTGCCCAGGGATTTGGTCAAGGTGTCTAGAGAAGACGATTTGGCCGATGCAGAGGAGGAGCGCAGAGAGAAAGAGAGGGAGACAGAGAGGAGGATGAGTCTTGACCTGAGAAGTAGGATCGACATGTTGACACCAAGGAAGGCCTCTCGTAAGAGTCTGGCTTACGGTGCACTGTTGGCAGGCGCGGGCAAAAGGGAGAGGAGTGATGAAGCATCGGCGGTTCTGGGAGGTGGAAAGCGGAGGAAGAGTGTGGATGGGCCTATTGCTGTTGGCGATAACCATGGTTCTACAACCCCACAGGCGAAGACTCCGAGAATCGAACGCCCTACCTTACCTACACCTGGCTCTGGCCGAAGGCAGACTCCAAGAAAACGGTTAGTTGTTATTGCACCGGAAACACCGGTTATCATCGAGTCTGCTGGCCCTACATCCGGCCAGCCGGGAGGGCAGTCTCCAGAGGAAGCGATGCTAGATCAGGCGCTAGAAGAGGAAGAGGAAGAACCAAAAATCAGTCTTCAAGAATTCCTAAATATGACCAGCATCACTTTCCTTGACGGCCTTACTACAACCAAGCGCCGTCAAACTGGATTCCCAGGCCTTAAGAAGAGTCGAGGAAGCATGGATGATGAAGCCGAAGCTTGCCTAGCAGACTGCATTATCGCCGGCGCTTGCACCGTTCCCATGCTCGACCTCTTCCAACATTCTTGCCGCGAGCTAAAAAAGTACATCCGCGAGGGGCGTGAGGTCGTCAAGACAATCGAAGGCGACACACTGGAGGAAAACCCCCTGCTCTTCCGGGAATATATGGAGGCTCCGCCTGACATCAAGCTTATCATGGACACCCAATTCAAGAATGTCAAAACTCATGCGCGATTCCTGGCAAAGGGGATCTGGTACGAGTGGCGGATGAAACTCCTCGAGGGTGTTCGTGCAGCACTGGAAGAAAACCTCAAGGGCCTCAAAGGCGACGAAACTCTGCTCTCAGAAGCCCTCGCAGCTGGCCAGAAACTCCTCCCAGAAATAATCTCCCGCTTTGAGGCTGCAAAGTCGAAACTAGACTATTTGCGAGAGATGAAGCGCAGAATAGAGGCAGACGATAAGGCGCAGCTCGCCATTGCCCGGGAGAGCCTCCAATCAGTGCAGTCCAAGGTTGAGCAAACAAAGGCCGAACTTGCCCAGCGAAAGAAAGACCTTGAAAAACTCGACGCTCAGCTTTCAGAGCGCGAACTTCGCAAGCAAATGCTTCAGTCCTGCATCGAAGAGGCTGAACGCGTAAAGGAGATGAACAGAGGCTGGTCGGAGGAGGAGGTCAGCATCTGGAAGTCAAAAGTCACGGCATTAGAGCGAAAGCACGGATGGAGTATAATCTCGGCGGTAGATAGGACTATGGAATTGCTCTTCTTGAAGCAGCTTCGCATACTCTGGGATTCATGCGCTCGTGCAGTTACGGGGGTGAAGTATGTCCTGCCAGCTGTTTCTAAGCCTTCGGATCCAATCCCACTTGGCGAGGTAGAGACTACCTTTTTTATCACAGCGCTGGAAAAGAGGTTGTCTGGGGCGGGAAGTTTAAAGGCTGCCGTGAAGATTGCGGACGAGTATTGGCGGAACGCGCTTACTGTCATGGAACAAATCAGACAGGTCCGCCGGTTGCATCCTACAGAAATTACTCCTCTAGAGGGCGGTGATGAGGGACTAGTCGTCAAGGTCAGTGTTCTCATTCCTGAAATACGCTCCAAGATCCGGATTGTGTTATTGCTGGATGGCGATCTTGAAGTCTCTGGCAGGGCGAAAGTTGTGTATGGAGGCGTGAACGAGGGCGTTGTTAGTGGGTTTGTGGAGAGTGGGGTCAAGGCTGGCGCTTGGAGGGGAGTTGTTGAGGAGGTTGTTGGAAGGTGCCTTGATGGAAGGAGGAAGGGGGGTGTGGGAGTTCCTACTAAGCAGTAGAGCACTGCAGAGGGGTTTTTCTTAAAATGTTTGAGTTGGTTTTAATGGAGTGTTTTATTATTATGATCATGGGTGGGTTTGGATTCGCATTTTTTTCTTTTTCTTTTTTTGGGATTCGTCATTATTAGTTCAGTGTTATTGGGATCTTTTTCCTTTCTTTTTATCTATTTCACTTCGTTGTATGGTACTTTTATCATTCTGTTGATGCTCTTTGCCATTACTTTTCAGAGTAAGGTTTGTGTTTTGGCATATGCGAGTGATTGTGTATGATCATCCTAATTCAATTAACTCCTGGGTTAAAAGAAATAATAGTGGGCTATTCTACTCGGGTACTTGTAATATTGCACCCCGTGCTTCATTCATCGTATGTTGGTTGCTCTACGTATCTTCCCGCTAAATACATGTTGCTGGGAGAAATGCCTCCTCAGCTAGTCTAATATGTACTATCATACGCAGTACAACTTTTGAGGAGAATTGAATAGAAAAAAAGAAGAAGGTAATTATAAGGGAGTAAAGGAGGTGAAATTGTAGATAATTATTAAATAAATATGATACAAGAAATAATATATCACAATTAAGTTGTAAAACTTCAGTTATTACTATTACCATCACCAAGATTTATCCTATATCATACTCAATTAAAGCATTCCACAATGCAATTGCCTTGGTCCTCCTTCCAAACAATTTGTACAATAATAATTATGAGATTTTATGTGGTTTTATAGGAATTGCTTGCAAGTAGTAGTAGAACTTTGGAACTTCAAATTATTTTAACTCTTGTCACAAGAAGGAAATAAAAAAGTAGGCAGTAATGCAATTTACTAACTGGTTTGAGTTTCCAACTTCTGTTACTATGTGTTAGGCAGAGATGATCTGTATAGACTTAGAATTGTCTAAGTTAAGTGAAATTTGTTTCGTAGATAGAGATTTGTCTAGGGAGGCTCAAAGGATTACTCATTTCATTTATGACCACTAAGAGTAAGGTAAAGTAGAATATAATCGTAAAAATAATATTATATTGTTAAGGTCTCTTCCCTGTTGCTTGATAATGTCTAAAAGCTTAGGAGGCATTTCGATATTTATATTCTGCTTCTGAGTGTTTGTGAACTAAATCTATTTCTCATACAAATTATATACATCTCTAACTATTACTCACAATATTGGGTATTCTCCAAAAGTGTGAATACAAGGAGACCCTGAAAACCATCACATTCTTTTTCAGTAATTTACTATTTTGCCAGTTGGGGAACTGTGCTGTTTCCAACAGTAATTATCTGATCATTGAAGTTCTTAGACTTATGGCCTAGTTCTCAATGTAACGAGACACCACGGAGTACTATTACAGTTAACCAAACCTATACCCATACCGGTATCAAGAGACTACCGTGGTAGGAATGGTGGTAGACTAGAGTCTACCAGCTAGAGATACTGTTGGTTAAGTACCTTGGTTGGACATACTATACCATACTAAGAAGTATACGGGTACTAGTAAGGAGCGGTAGTTACCCTACTCAGTAGGGTAACCTAAGTAGTCAATTTGGGAGTTACCCTGAATTACTCAATGGTACCTCCGGGTAGAGTTACCTTACTCTATAGAATAACTCAGCCTGCCGTTACCCTACCTTTGGACTAAAGTTACCCTGCCTTGGGCTATGGGTTACCCTGTTATGGAGCCAAGTTACCCTACCTTGAAAGTAACTTGTTACGCAGGACTTTGGGGGAAGTTACTAGATTGTTTGTCACGTGAAACTACATAGGGTGTTCAAATCTCAGATTGTGCGGATGATTCCCGCACAACCAGTTGAGCTCTGAACAAGCTGTAACTTGGAGGTGTGATGGCTAACACCCCCCTCCGGCCCCGCTATAAGTCCCTGGCATCATGGGCTACAGCTTGGAGAGTTGCTATAAGCCTAGTAAATGTCTTCAGGTCGAGATGCTCCTGTAACACTGTATATGTTCCCACCGTCTGTCTGACTGGAAGCTGTCCGCAGGATATATGAGGGCGTAGAGGTGAACCTGGAGAATGGTCTCCAGGTGGTTTTGTGTAAAATGGACCAGAACCGATGGAGTAATACTACTTTGAAGTCTAAGGTAGTATGTGAGATTACTAAAAGCTAGTAGACGAGGTAACCGAAGTCTGTTGCCATGAAAGTGTAATAGTATTAGAGAATTGTTAGGAACTCTGAGACACTAGTCTAAGGTCATGATAAGACCTGCTTCTAGGAGGGTTGACTGTGGGTAGCACCTATTGGTAGTCAACATCCGAAAGGGTCTATTGGGGGCGCTACGTGGCTATCATTTGGAATGATATAGAATAGAGTAGAACCGAATAGATGTTTAGAGGCTGCGGATGCTTGTAGAAGACTAAGTGTATATGGGTAGAGAGTTCTATAGTTGGTATCGCATCTACTCGGGCATGACAGCTTGCCACTGACATGTTCGTGATATGAAGAGTTTTTACTCCTGCGGTTGCATTGTAGATGCAGCGGCTAAAATACTTCTATCGGGTGGATGTTAGAAAACCACAAGAGTAGTCTAGTTCGCTATAGGAGATCTGTGGTCTGACCCGTGGAGGTTAGCTAGGCAGTCCAGGGGAGTTGGGTGCTCGTGAATACAGAGTAGTAATGGAGAGCCAACTGACAGTATATGAAACCTACTTAAGTATATGTAAGTTCTCCTCTACTCTGGCAATCAACTACCTCTCGAGATCAGGACTTAATTGAGTAGAAGCTGTGGCTTAACGATATTAAGTTTTACTGTTTGTTTCTTCAAACTCTACTGTTGAGACTTTTGATATTTATTATATTTGTTCACTTTGCGGAAGAATTCATTTCAGTACGGTCGCAACCTTGGGATCCATCTTTCTAGAGGGAGCCCCCGTTACACTCAAGTCAAACTGTGTTGGCTCCAACTGTTTTTCTTATTGATGAAATGATCAGTTTCATTCATAAGTTGTGTCTGCAGAAGTAGTCATAAATGCAACCTTCTTAGGTTGCCAATTTTAAACTTCTATAACTCCTGATCCAACTGACAGATATTCTCCAGATAACTTCCTACTAGTTTACAGGAAGCAACTCTACTAGATTGACAGATAATCCCTCTGTTAGCAATGTCTGGTTGTTTAAGGTAGCATGGCTTTTAGTCATTGTTTAGTATTAGTAAGAATTCTCGCAACCATGAGGCATCCCCTACATAGTTGTAACCCTCTGTGATAACCTTTGATTTCTCTGGCAGTATCTCCCAAGAGTTCTAAACTCTTCTAATTATTGATGAGTGGATGTGAATATGTTAGCTCTGTATATTAGATTTTTCAATATTCAATATTATATTATTGTATGAAAAATATTCCGTTACTTATGGCCTATACCAAAGATGCCCCATCTTTGAAGCACAGTAACCTTCTGAGTAGTTGACAAATTTAACCTGTTTCACTTCTCAGATCTTGCCAAAGACTTTCTCTTATATATTCTGCGAACAGGATATTCTACGAACAGGATATGGTCGACTGGATGGTGACCATGTATATAATATTATTCAAACACCTTCAGTACCGTAATACTGTTAGGAGTACCAGGATCTGATACTTAGGAACCACTTAAAGTAGGTTAACCTCTCCTAGAATCAGAATCTCTGATTTTCAATACTTTCCTCTGGCTCCCTTATGGGGCCTGCATATTACCACATATATCTATCTCAGTTGCGTCATATGGGTATAATGATACAGAATTGAAGGTGTCAGAATAACACTGTATATATTGCTGCTGTCTGTCTAACTGAATCCTCTTTGCAGGACATAGGAGAGGGGACCATTGGCAAGGTCTGGGAAGTGAAATAGAGTAAATCTGTCAACTACTCAGAGAGTTACAAGACTTTAAAGATAGGTTATCTTTGGTATGAGCCATAGGTAATAGGATATTTTCACACAAAGATATGATATTGAATGTTAGAAAATCTATACAAAAAGCCAATATATTCATGTCTACCTCATAAGAATTAGAAAAGTTGAGAACTCCTAGGAAATACTATACAGAAGCCAATAGACTTCATAGAGTGTTACAACTAAGTTGAGGGATACATCATAATTGTAGGAATTGTCACCAATACTCTACAATGGCCAAAGCCTTACAATCTAGGATAGCCAAGAGTTGCCAACTAAGAGATTATTTACCAATCCAGTAGAATAACTTCTAGCAAATCAGTAGGAAGTTATCTGGAAGAAATCCGCAGGTTAAGTTAGAAATTATAGAGGTTTAAAGTAGGTGACCTAGAAAGGTTACATATATGACTACTCTCGCAGACTCAGCCCCAAGATAAAACTGAGCATTTCATTAACAGGGAAGACAATTGGAGACAACTCAGTTCAACTGGAGAACTAGAATAAAAGTTTGAGAACTCTAATAATTGAGTAATTACTATTGAAAACTATAAAGCTTTCTATGAAACAAAATCGTAATTACCAAAGAGAATGTAATATTTTTCAGGGTCTCTTGGTATCTATACTTTTGGAGACTGTCAGATATTGTGAGTTATATATGAGAGGTATATAATTTATATGAGAAATAGATGTAGTCTGCTGTAACCGGTACAGGTACTTGGTTATTGGTTTTGTTTTATGTTTTGTTTTAAGTATCGCTTTGATACTTGGTTTTGTTTTATATTTTGTTTTAAGTATTGCTTTGATACTTGGTTTGTTTTAAGTATTGTTTGATACTTGGTTTTGTTTTATGTTTTGTTTTAAGTATTGCTTTGATACTTGGTTTGTTTTAAGTATTGTTTGATACTTGGTTTTGTTTTATATTTTGTTTTAAGTATTGCTTTGATACTTGATTTTGTTTTATGTTTTATTTTAAGTATTGCTTTGATACTTAATTAGTTTTACCAAAGTGTATCGATTAATACCTTTGATTAGTTTCGTTCATGCTAGACATGAACAGATTTGTGTATTTAAAGACCGCCTGCTTCTACGATAGAAAAGACAGACTTCGATAGACATTATTTCA